TGTTCTATTTTCGTATGACAAAGTTCTTGCAAGTAGATTTGTATGTGACATTGTGTTTTGAATGACCATTATTTTAAGCCCTATTCCAAACATATTATAAAATTCTTATTTATTTTTTGTTGGTTGCTATCAGCTCATATCCATGTTGCTTCTTGTCAGGAAGGAAGAAAAAAGGGAATCTTTGTCATCTTGTTAATTATTGTTTTGGAACTAATTTGTCTTTATTTTGAAAATATCACAAGGTGTGAGTTCAATTCTCATAATGAAAACAGTTACCTTTTCTTTTCTTTTACTTTTCCAGCTTTGTTCAAAAACTATATCATTTATTCATGGAGATTTTGATGTATTGAAAAATGTGCTTATTGAAATATTTGCAGAGCTTTTTTTTCGTTAACAGCTGTCTTAGTAGACTCCCTATTACCATAGGAAGCTTGAGTTAGTTAATTTGAAAATAGATTAGTGCACTACTTCCTTATCTGGTAATATGTAATCTTGTAACTTGTGATGTCTAAGTTTTAATTCTTCAATTTGATGTATGTAGGGTTTTTTTCTCATCGTTTTAAATATTGTTGTTAAATATTGAGTTTTACAGTGCGAATTAAAAAATTGTGGGGCCTAGAAATATGTCAAGAATGTTTGTTGACCAATCAAAAGCATTAGTTTTCATCTTTCCATTATCTTGTGGTTAGAGAGTCAATTGTGATTCGCTAAAGAACAATAGAACATTGTTGAAATATTTCTAAAGTAAGTGCCCATGGTTTTTCAGTTAGCACTATAAAAGTGCAAAACATTTTATGACAATTTTTTTTAACTTTTTACTTTGAATGGAAAAAAGGAAAAGAATTAATGAATGAAAATTAATGAAGATTATAGTACATGATTTTTGCATGACTGTACGAAATGAAATAACCTTACAATCAGGATGTTATTATGATGAATACGTCATTGCAATGATCTAGTCAGATATAACCATACCGTATGCTACGCCATTTCATATGAAAGCTAAGCTAAATAAGAAAGACCTATAGCAGAGTTACTATCATACTTTAGAAAATTCATCAATCTTAATGTCGATCATTAAAAGCATTTCTTTAGAGGGAGGAAAGTAATTTGGCAATTTAGGTGTACTCTCTCATCATTTTCGTAGGCCAATTAATAGGATTAAGCCATTTGACTCTAAAGGTTCATTTTAATATCAGTCGTTAATTTAGAGAGAGGAAATAAATGTCTTGAATACTTTTAGAGGTAGTGTAATCAGATTTTTAAAATATCCTAAAAACTCATCATAAAAAATAGAAAGTAAAATATTGAAAATTAAATAAATTTTAAATGGTTGTGAAGCAATGATGCCGATAATTTTTCTGAAAAGTTAACATTAGAGATGAAAAATAAGTAATGAAATTGAATGGGAAGTGAATAAAAGAGATAAATAAAGAATTTGTAAGATCATTTTATGGTAGCTCGTTGTCCATTTTCTATTTAAATTTTTCCTTTTTGTTTGTTTGTCCAATAAATCCTAGAACAACAGCCAGTTTATTATGTATAATTTTTAAAATAATCGATATTTAAATTTAGGAGTGACAAGCAGGATTTCCATAATTTTAAAATGGGTTCCCATTAAATGTCTGTCCACTAATCCTACTAATGTGATGAAACATATGTTTGATCTTCAAGGTATTATGTGTTGATAGTGAAGATTCTCCCAAACATGAGCCGAAGGTTGCATTCTGGTGTGGTAAAGTAAACAAACATATTGATCTTACCACTGGTGAATGGGTGACTGATAAAAATGGCAAGTCCATGTGTGCCACGACTCCAAAAGAAATTTTAAGGTAAGGATTATGTTTTTGATTTATGTAAACGCCTTGTTTAGGATATATTTATTCAATAAAACCTGGGACAATAAAATCTGGGGGGGGGGGGGGGAAAAGGGGGGGAAAAAAAAATTAATGGGGGGGATGATTGTGGATGGATGGAGGGATGGATAGATGGTCATGAATGGATAGCAGATAAATGGATTGATGGGTGGATGGATGGGTGGCAGATAAATGGGTGGGTGGGTGGATTGATGGAGTAGTTAGTGGGCGTGTGAGAGGGTGAATAAACGAATGATAAATAGATGGATGCATGAATGAATGAGATTAATAATAAAAAATTAAAATCTGTCATCCCTGGATAAAATGCCTTAATATATTTATAACTTAATTAGACTGTATTACCAATATCTAATCATCTCATTCTATTGATATTCAGGTACTGCAAACATGTGTACTCATCAATGGATATCCAAAACATTGTTGAGGAAAACACCCGTGAAACAATTAACAAGTGGTGTGAGCCCAACAATGTTAACTGTACTAGTGTTAAGAAGGTCATAGCCTACAGATGTTTAGGTAAGCATTAATAGATCCCTTGGATTCCTGAGTTTTGGTTCACTGACAGCTGTGTTTACAGTTGTATTGCTATTCTTTCATTTTAGTGGGTGCATTTGAAGCAGATGCTTTGCTGGTACCAAAAGGCTGCAGGTTTGAACACCTGCACAAAGGCAGCAAATGCAGACCTCATGATGAATGGAAAGGCAAGGCCGTAGACAAGTGCAAGGAGCAGGGGATGATCCTGAAGAATTATGGAGTCTTGATACCCTGTGACACAGGAAAGTTCACGGGAGTTGAGTTTGTATGCTGCCCACAAAACATGACCACAGAGGTGCCAACGGACAGCACCCGCATAGTACCACTCATTGGTGGAGCTGAAGATGTCAATCAGCCTGAGACAACACCAAAACCCACTACATTCATTGATAAGCTGGAACATGAGATTAAGAAATTATCCAAACATCTGAAAGGCAAATCTATTGGTGAGTTATAATGCTTTAAACAGGATGCTAGGTTATAATATATTATATACCAAGTGTTATGTGTCAGTAGCATGTGCTTTTCACCTCTGGGGTCTCAGGTTTGTTACTTAGACTTTGAATTGCATGTTCATGAGTAAAATGCGTTAGGATCTTGATTCAAGGGTTTTTGCCTTAGTTCTGCAGACTGTTTTCCATCCTCCACAAAACCTAGCATAGGTAATGAATCACTATTTGATCTGTGAATAAGCCTTGCAATAAAATTCAATGAGAAAAATAGGGTTGATTGATATACACCATAACCAGTCTGTTGAATATTAACTACACGTAGCACAAACATTATTTATACATTGGCAACAGTAATAATATTAACAGATATTATATATTTTGTAATAATATTATTTTGTAATTAATATCTTGTAGTGGGATATTGAGTATTTTTCAATAGAGCATGGTTGTAATACCTGTGCATGGGTATGACATTGTCTGTTTTGTTTTAGGCTGCAATCCTAAGAAGTTCCACCAACGCCGCCAGAACATGGAGAATGAGCATCGTCGGCGTATGTCTCATGTCATCAAACAGTGGGAGGAATCTGAGAAGCGCTACAATATCTTGAAGAATGATGATGAAATGCAGGCAGAGGGAATGATTAAAGGTAATTTTAAAGGTGTTTTACAATTGTTATTAATTACTTATCCAAACACTTTCATCACTAATTAAGCATCTTTTTCTGGAAGATATTAGTTCTAAGAGCTACCCTGTAAATTCGAGTCTAAACAAAGTTTATGTATGTATGTATCTTCAGGAAATGTGCTCTATTGCATTTGAAAGTGATTAGCACTTTCTCCTTTAAGTATTTCTCCCTTCAAATTCAAGCCTTCTAGGTTTAAACAAAGATTGAGGCCACTACCAGGGCTAAAAATAATGGCTGCTCAATGTCTGGACATGTGACTGGTCAAGTAAACTGGCCTAGCAGGCATTTGGCCCCAGACATGACCAGCTGTTATTTTGAGCCTTATGCCACAGTACAGACTTTGCCCAAGTTAACTTGATTGGATACGAAGTAGTGGCTCAAATTTGAGGTTTGACTTAATATGTTTATTGTTATGATTTGATGATGTATTAAGTGTTTTGATGCAATAATAATAATAATAATATTATTTATTTATTTATTTATAAAGTGCAAATACAAATCTGTTTTAAGCGCCAGTAAAAAGTATTATTACAAACAACAAAAACAACAACAAAATAAAATAATTTACAAAGATGTCACCCACTCCATGTTCCATAGTGTATAATATAATATAACTTTTAATATTTTTGATCCATTTTAGGAGTGATGGAAAGATTCAAGAAAACCATTGCCACTTTGGAAAACAAGGCAAAACTGGAGCGTCACCAGCTGCATGAAGAACACCATCAGTGTAAACAAATTGATTTGAACGACAAGAAGAACAAAGCCTTGAAAGACTTCTTGAAGGCCTTGAAGAAAACTCCTTCAGATGGTAATGGTGTATTGAAAGCTGTGAGGAAGTTCCTGAAAGTCTGTACTGAAGATCGCATCCACAAGTAAGTAGTTAAATGCACCATTTTATCCTGTGTTACACACTTAACATCCTAAAGCAAAAAAATGCAAATTGGTTCATAAATTGTCAGTGATAGATGCAACATGCATGGCTGGCTGGATATTTAGCAAATGTCAAGCTTCACTCAGGTCTAAACATTGAAGTTGTTGGTATGATTTCTGTAGATAGCACATAGTTTGCTTGATGTTCTGTCATGAAGTCTCTATTAAACTTGTGGCCCTCCCTTGCCTTGGTGTTAAAGTTTTAAATCAACATGATATCTAATATAGTGTTCTGTTGTACCATTTTCAGCCGTCGTCATTTGGAATACATGAGCAAGGTTAACCCTGAAAAATTGGATGAACTAAGAGAAACTTTCCAGAATCATCTTGAAAGTATCAACCAGCGTGTCAATGAGACAATGATGCTCCTTTACAAGTTGCCTAAAATTGCACGTCAATTTTACTTTGAGCTGCCAACATGGGCACCAAAACCAAAAGTACTGGTATGTTCAATTAAATTTTTACAGTAATATTGAATTCAATTAAAGTATTTAAAAACAAAAACTTTCCCTTTTCATTAATGATATGAAATTGTTCAAACTAAGATAATAATATTCATCTTTCCAAGGTTTAAATAATGAAATGTGATGATTGTGTTTCCTGGTGCAAATATGAAATTATGGGGTGGACGTCGAGGGTACAATATGGTAGATATTTTTCACCTGATTACCATTTTCGGGATCAGTCTTGTGCAATACTAGGTTATTTCCAGTCTTGTAGCTGTTCATGGCATATCATTGTTTACTTGATTGTTTTTAGCTTTGGAACTAAGATAAAAAAGTCAATTATTACCAGTTTTGTTAAAAAATACCCCATGCTTGTCTTTTTGTATCAGTTCAGGATGCATACAGGAGGTTTGGAAGCTCTAAAGAAGCAAATAAGCTTGCTGCATTAATACAGAATGAATTCATTATTAGATATATTAATGCATAAGTCTGCCTGTTTGATTTGTAGCCAACAGAAACACCAACTGCAACAGAGATCAAGACAGAAGCTGAAGTTGTTATCGCTGGAGGAGTATCAGGTGATCATACTCAAACTGTCAATTCCGCACACAGCATCCATGACAAGCACCGACACTCTGATGCCAAGAAACAACATCTGAAACACAAAAAAAATGACCCTGAAAATAGGCCTGAAGATGAAGAAAGATGGGAGAAAGCTCAGCCACCTGCAACATTTGCTGTAGTGATTGGCCTGAGCTGTGGTGCCCTTGTCATCATGATTTTTATCATCATCATCATGGCAATGCGCAGATCACGAAGCAGCAACCCCACAAAGACCGTACTGGTTGACCCAGACAATGATGCCAACTCTGAGAACCAACATCTGGTTAATCTTCAGCAGAATGGGTATGAGAACCCTGTTTACAAGCTAGCTCAATACTAAGTACAACTTTTTCTAGCATTTTCTCATCAACATAGGCTACGATACCAATTCGTATATTACCAAAGCGTTGCACTACGTTTTAAGTCATGTCCTTGTTCTTGTTGTCACTTTTGGTTTAGCACAATTTCTTTGTCATAAATTATTTTAAGTTTCATTGATTTCATTTTTTGTTTCTTTTCCTTTTTACAATTGGTATCTTATAGAAAAATTTATTTTATGTGTTGTATTTTCTTTATGACAGGATTAGTTTAGCTTCTTTATGCGGTTATTTTTTTTGTGTCATTGTGATATCTTTTCATGTTCATTTTGTTTGTTTTTTTCAATTTACATTTTTTTAGATTTGATTTATAATACGTATACAATATGTCTAGTATAAGGGATGAAAGATTCTAAAAACGAACCATTTGTATTAACAAGGTTTATTGCATTGAGTAGCTCTGTGTCATTTCAAACCTGAACTGGACATATACATTTGTGTTGGCAAGCTTATTTGGCTATTTTCTATTACTATAATGACTGTGTGCATATTTGCCGTCAATTTACTTCTACTTACTGTGCTGTACTAAGCATGTTGCACACTTAATCACAAGTTTTACATGCCATTGCAAACAGGACAGTGATGACAAAGAGCAATGCAATAGATTCAAATATAAATGAAGTGATAACTAGCTAAAAACTAGTGCGATCTGCGTCGGTGTTTCTAATGAAACAGTAATGATAAAAAGGTAAATTATACACAGTGAAAAGATGAAAAAACTTACTGACGTTTCAGATGCTAGTTTTTTCATCTTTTCACGGTGTATAATTTACCTTTCTATTATTACTGTCTCAAATATAAAGTATTGTGCAAAAAGGTTTACTATTCTACACATATTCTACACTATACAGCGAGTGACTTTGTGGTATATTTTAGAATTTTGTCAATTAGGTATAAAAACTCAAAGCGCCCAAAAGAAAATATTATATGAGCTCTGCTCTATCCATGGCGGCGAAATAAACATCTTCATGTAAGTTTAGAGAATCTAAAGGTTGAAGTACTTTATGCATGTGTCAACTTTCTATTTAAATAATTGAATCAATAATAATCCAATAGGTGTTCATTTAAGTTGAGTAAGGGTGATTTTATAAATGATTTTGTTAACTTTGATAAGTTAAGGGATCGGTATAGTATATAATATCTTACCAAAGAAGTAGCTTTTAGTATTTATGGTCAAGAGTGACAAAAACAGTGCTGTCAATGTTATGCAACATAGAGCAGTTTTCGTAGGAGTGGGAAGCATGCAATACTGAGTTACATATTGCAAACATTGAAACAGCTTTCCACCGTCTTTCCAGTATTTCATCCAATCACAGCACAGTTACAGCTACAGTAAAATACGCTGCGGTCACAGGAAGGCTACAAATTTATTGTATCAATTCCCACATGCGAAAATTGATCTATATTATTGCATGAAATAATTGAGGTTTATTTCAAAACAAATCTAGGTTACTGTTAAGTCATTTTACTCTGTCTTGGTAAAAAAATGGTATTTATTCAATAATCAGTTCATTCTTATGCACAACATAGACTAACATAGATAGTCCAAGTACTGGCTGGCTGTCAGTCAAGAACTGTTGGTAACTTGCTACAGTACATTACCCATGCAGCAGCTAGTTCTAAATGACTTATAACTTCACGTGTGTCAATGTATTTTGCTTGTTTAATGCAAACTATGTTGATGTTGTGGTCGTTTGGTGAATACAGAATAGAGGCTTTTCACCATCATGTGATGGCAGGAACGATGGCAGCCATGAGTCTTTTCCCTGGGGAAACTGAATTCTTTCTCATGTATACCAAATAAGACCAGATTCCAATTATGCATGCCTGCCTCCTGTCATGGGCGCCATCAGCCTTGGTCTATAGGCTGATGTAAGGTTGTTAAAAACTAGTACAGTGCACAGCTTTTCTGTATGTCGTCCATCAGATACTGTATGTACAAAGCTTCAAGGAGTCCATGTTCATGTATTTACCAAACCATTGCTTCATCTTTGTAACAACCTTTTGGTTTCTTGTAATAAACTTATTTATCTTAAAGTACGTGTCCAAATCGCTTACTAAAATGTATCGAGAAAAACCAAGGTAGGTAACATTTTCTTTCCTCTATACACAACACTACAAAAAATACTTTCTTTTACTTACCTATTTCCCGTTACAGCATTACAAAAATAAAATAATGATAATCAAGGGAATGCTTGACAGTGGTAGTAGGAGATCGTGTCAATAGACGTCCTCTTACATGTGACGTCAAAGCAGCTCAATTTGGAGGACAAAACACAAGAATTTCAACCTAATAAGGATAGGAAACCTCTTGTTATGTCCTCCCAATTGAACTTCATTCCGAACTGCTGCAAGGGAGTCTATAAGCCCTGTCCAGATGCTTTAATGCTTTTTAAAATGGCATCTTTTTTGCTTCCTGATAAAGCATCCCTCCAAACCACCTCATAATGCAACCATTTCTACAACTCTGGAAAGGCTAATAGCTTTAGCAAAAACATTAAACATGCCCACAAAGTCAGGATTATAAGTTTTATAATTTTCACTCAACATTTTTTAATACTAGTTTTAAACTTATGATAAAACAAATTGTAAAAAGTATTCTAAGGTTTGAGAACAATAATTGCTGGGTAACAGTATTGCAGTATTTTCTATTTTAACCCATGAAGATATTAGGTTTAATTCCCATCTTTTCAGTCACATATTTCTGTGCTTTTGCAGCCTCTTTTAAAGAATAGGTCTGTGCCATTTCTCCCTCTGTTCGCACCAAGAGTAACGCTTCATCAAACAGCTCAATTGCTTTGTCTAAGTTGCCCCTGAAAAACGAAGTGCAACGATATTGAATGACTAGCAGCAAATGGTGTAACATTCCATCAATACCTATTCAACTTGGGCATAATATTTACCCTTTTCCAACCATGTGTCATTCCCTCGAGTATTATTATATTGCAGATGACTCCACAAATAATCTTTTTTAAATGGGAATAATGAAGATTGAAATGGGAAAACTTTATGATGAAAAGGTTTATTTTCAACACAACATTCCATGTGCCACAAATTTTTAAACTCGTTCAAAACTACACTCCATGTTACCATTAATTTCATACTACTGTATATACCAGAATACTTAACATCACAACAGTTTATCTAATCTTACCTTTGTACTTCTAAAGTTGCTAGAGTTTCATATGCAAAGTCACACTTTTTGTCCAGTTCAATAGCAGATTCAACTAAATCAATCGCTTTCTTAAAATCCTGCTTCCACTGGACCATTAGCAAACTAAAACCATAAAATAAGACCCCATTTAGAAGAATATTAATCAAGTATTTTAGTTCCTCTGAGGATGACTGTGTCGGTTGAAAGCTAAGGGAAATATTGAATTATTTAAAGGTTGAAGAGTCAACTTTATTTTCATAAGAATATTTATGTGGATTACTTGTTTGAGAAATCCAGAAATCAAGATAACGAGACTTTGCAGCTGTATAATGTAAACAGGGTTCGTGCTGAGGTAACCACTTAAAATTCAAGGACTATTCAAGGAGTATACAAGGACCCAAAAATGAATTTTCAAGGAGTATGTTCAGCTATATATGCCAAGGTTTTACAGGGTGGTTGCACATGGTCGACTTTCAGATTTTCTAATCTTTCTGACTAGATCTATGTCAGAACCATGCAAATAATGTTTTCAAGGAGTTTTGCTAAAATCGTAAAATTCAAGAGTTTTTCAAGTGCCCTTGAAAACGTGAATTAAATTTAAGGAGTTTTCAAGGAGTTTAAGGAGTAGCATGAACCTTGCATAAAGATTCCAGCATACTGGTAATCATAATGGAAGAACACTCACCCTTCATACACCAAATGGATAGGATTATCTGGTTGAATTTTGTGAGCAGCATTAAACTTTTCTAATGCTTCTTCAAACTCTCCTTGTTCTTGCAGTGCCTTCAAATATAATGAGTTCTTTTAATTTTCATCTTTCTCCTTTGAGTAGAGATTTTTTTTCATGTCATTTATGCAAGCTTCAAAGCAGGATGGAATCAAACTTCCAATAATGAAATGAATCTTTGAACCTTGAAAGGAACACATGAGCTGGTTTGACTGTAAATACATTATTTTTATCAATAAGCAATGCCACTTTTGGCTGGGTTAATAATGCTAGAGTACTAGTGATTTTACAAAAACAAAACAAAAAGATAGTATACTTATTAACTGCAATAGGCTCAGGTAAAATGTCAAACTTCACGTGAGCCAAACCTAATTGAAACAATGGATAACAAGGCAGTCTTCTTATATGACATTAGCTTTGGCTCGTGTGACATTTGACCTTAGTCTTAGTCTACTGTCTAATGCTTTCACTAGTTAAAATCACTACAGCACTCCAGTAAATAATATTATTACTATACAGTTCCCCCTACTTACCTGAGCATGTAGACTTAATGCGTCAGGACAGTCAGGGTTTTCAGAGCTAATTTTTTCAAATTCTTCCATTGCGCTCTTGGCCATCATAGGGCTCTGGGAGATCTGAGCAGTCTTGTATTTACAGTATGCCAGCTGGACCTTGGCTTGGATGAAACTTGGATTCAACTCAATGCATGTTTCAAAGTCTGCCTTGGCTTCATTCAGTCTTTCTGACAAGAAGTTGATCTGAGATATAAATATTAATTATTTATCGATTACTACAGATTGAGACAAAAATATTGTAACAGGATATTTGGTAGTGGGGTCCGGTAGTAGACTCCTGCCAGTCAAATAAGTCATTACAGTACATTGCACATGGGAAGAGTACCCTAAGGAGTTATTTTATCGATGAAACTCAGTCTATAATACCATGAAAACAGTAAAATAATTTTTGAGGAGCTAAAGTAATCTAAGAAATCAAACCATCATAGGCTGATAATGATGTTCATTCAGCTGATTGATACCGAGCAATAGAATAAATCTCTAGTTGATAAAACATGATGGACAGAGTTTGCAAGCCTATCATTAATTTTGTACAGTATGGTTAGAAGATCTACATGTATTTAGCTGGTTGAAAGCAAGCATTTATAATGGCAATGGAATAATATTCAATATTGAAATCCATACCTGTGCTCTGTGATGGTAAATATCTGAATTTGTTGAATCAAGTGTGATAGCTTTTTGAAAGTCTTCATTCGCTTCAGATTCTTTGCCATCCTGCACTTTCAAACTTGCTCTTTTAAGGAGACAGTTGATCTTGAGCTACAACATTCAAGAAACAAAGTGAAAAAATCTCAAACACTAGCACTAGAACAGGTTAAGAAATTGAATCGTAGTGGTGTACTGTTAATAAACATTACAATAATTATTGCGCAGAAAGAATCAAAAAAAGAGTCAGCAGTGAAAGTTGACACATATCAGCACACACCACGTTTGCTGCGAACCATATTACATAATACCCTACCTTGATATCTGCTTTGTCGTCATCCATGTCAATCACTTCTGTCAAGTCTTTGACAGCATCTTCTACCTGAGATGTCAGAGTATACATTGTTCCTCTCAAGGCAACAGCCTTGGCGTAGCAAGGGCCTTCACCTGCATTAAACAGCGAAAAGGAATATCAGGCATAAAATTAATGGAAACTGCACTTACTCATCGTAAAGAAAGAATATGACAGCATGATTGTTATAGCAACTAGTCAATATAACAACTGGTATTTGTTTGCTGCCAATGAATTGATATATCCTATAGTTGTTATGACAACAGGTTGCCATAGAGATTGCAATAATGTCTATTCCCAGTTGAATGATTTACATACCACGACCAATCTCTTGAGTGCAATAAACTATAATATTCTCAAACTTTTTGTTTTTAATGTCGTCTAATGCCAGCAAGAATGGGGAATCTGCGGCAATACTTTCATCCTCTCTTATGCTCTCAGAAAGAATTTCATCTGCAAAGAACAAAGGAATATCACTAATAATTTTGATTAAGTAATAAAATGGCATCAGTCAAATACTGTAACTTAAGTCCTCTTCAAATAATACCTAAACACAAAAAAATGTCCCATGTTTCTGACACACACATCTCCAGACATGGCCCATTTCGTGATTTGGTTAATATACTCTTTCACAGTTTCCTACGCCATCTTGAAAGGTAGCTGTGCCTTTGCATCAAAGCGAGATGAATGGTGAGCGTGCAATGATAGAGACCTTTTCAAACACCTTGGACAATTATTCACATGTCTCTATCATTGCAAGCTCACCGCTTGTCTTGTTTCCATGCAAAGGTACGGCTACCATTCAAGATGGTGCAGGGAACTGTGAAGGGGACTATTGTCACCCATCAAGTCTACTATGGTCAGAGTTCACAATTTTTTGAGAAAGACAAGAGACAAAAGAGAGAAAAAACAGATGTCTGGAAGTAATTTTTTCTTTTTTTGATGATGCTGTATATTCTTAACATTTTTATGAAGATTTTTTACTTGCCTTGGCTGAAGGAATCAAGGTAAGCCTTGATGTAAGTTGGTGATGGAATGATTGGTTTGCGATTCTAGAAATAAAAAAGGACAGTCTGAATTATGAGGTAAATTATGAGCCCCTTGAGGAATTGTTCTGGGGGACAAAACAATGGATTTTTTTTTTTAATAAGAAAAGACGCCCTATTGTTTTGCCCCCCAGAACAATTCCTCTAGGAATTCAATGCAAGGAGTCTATACAGCCCAAGGGATCAAAGTCCAGACTTTCAGACCTCAAGTTCATCAACCTGACCATACCCTCACCACTGGGTCTCAACAAGTAAATGTACTAATCTAATCTACAGTATGGGAGACAATGGGTAGAGTGAGACAGCTCACTGACTGACCTTGAAGTGTTCATTAGCCTTTTCTTTTCCAATTGACTTCAAAATCCTATCAGCATGAACCATCCAGTCTGGATTATTGAATCCTTCTAGTAGACACACAGCTGTCAGATCTACAAGGAGACAAACATTAGGAGTAGTGTAGTGATACTGAATTCACCTCTCACCACTGGGATTGATCTGGTGTTCAATTCATATGTGAAAGAATAGTTTGTTACATGTCTCCCTTGATTATAGGGCTTTGCTCCAGGTTCTCAAATTTTCCACCTTTCATAAAAACCAATCATGCTACATGTAAATTCCATTTAGATTTGTGGGTTATAGCCATGGGATTAGTCTGTGAGTTACCAGTAGCCTGACTTAGAACTACCCAGAGGTTGTTTCAGTGTTTGATCTGTGAGTTAGCCATGCCCTGACTTTGATCAGCCCAGAGGTTGTTTCAGGGTTTGATCTGTGCATTACCAGTACCCTGACTTAGATCAGCCCAGAGGTTGTTTCAGGGTTTGATCTGTGAGGTAGTCATGCTCTGACATAGATCAGCCCAGATGTTGTTTTAGGGTCCAATCTGTGGTTTAGCCATGTATTTCCTGACAACCTTCAAGCCCAGAGAATGTTTTGATCTGAGTTAATTTGAATGTTCAATGAAATTAAAGGTTTGCCTGGGTTCATTTGCTCTAAATCATTATGGACTGTTTTTTTTATAGTTAGATATTTTTGGTTCAAAAATAATTATGACAAATCTTTATTAAAAATTTCATACCTTGTAAGCATTGTTCTTTTTTGTCCAGCTGTTCATATGCTCTTGCTCTTCTCATTAAAGCTTTGGTGTATTTGTTGTTAAGCTCAAGAGCTGTGGAAAAATTGAAAAAAATTGTTGTGGGAAAAAATTGTTGTGGAAAAAAATTGTTGTGATCGACATTAAGCTCATAAAATTAAAGAACTAGTATTGCATTAATAATAAAAACTTTGAAACCCCATTCTTGGTTGTGTTTCTCTCATTTGTTTTCCTCAGGTAAATTCCTCCTGCAAGCATAGGAAATCTATTGTTTCAGCCAATGAGCTGCGACATGAGCTGCGGCATGAGCAAGGCCCATGTACGAGTACTTATTCATACCTTTAGAAGCTTCTTCAATCACCTCTTCAAATTGTCCCTGTTAAGGAAACGAAACAATGGTTAAAACATTAATACATAACCCATATATAAGAATAATTCCACTTTCCAGAAGGTTTTCCTAACAATTCTCCAGGTTTTTTTTTTTCTTCTCTCCCAAAAAATCATCTGTAAGTTAGTCATGGACTGACTAAATAGATCAACTCAGAGGTAGTTTTAGTAGGGTATGATAAAATTAATAATAATGATATAATATAATGTAACAAGGGCTATATCTCACCAACTGTTCATATGCTGCAGCTCTATTTTGGTAAAATGTCGCCAGATCTGTTTTGTTTTCTTCTGGGCAAAGTTCAATGGCTTCTGAGTAGCATTTCAATGCCTGTTCATACTTGCGTCCCTTGAAAAATTTGTTGCCTTTCAGCTTAGCAGCTTGAGCCTTCTCTGCAGGGGTCTACAAACAAATAACTGAATTTAAGACAAAAATAAAGTAACTGGATACTTAATCTGTAGGTAGAGTTCATTCAGCTATTAGTGATTACAACTGCATGGCCTTCAAGGATGTTCAAGGTATATAGTGCAATTCCTTATGAATGTACAGTATATAGGTGGATATTGATGGGTTGCAAGCATTCCCAAGAGAGTTAAAAGACAAAAACATGGCGGCCATTGTGGTACCATTAACAATGGATGCTAATGAGAAACCTTTCGTTAAATGGTACCAACATGGCCGGGATGATGTAACGTGCAAACAAAGAATAGAATTTTGAGTAAATAAACTGCAACCAGAAAAAAGCCTTGCTACTTAATGTAAGATTACATGAAATGGCAATATTCTGTAATAAAATTTAAGCTTAGTTTATTTTTGGATTTGGGTTAGGGTTAGGGTTTGGATTATGTCTGAATATGGAATATATTACATATGTATAAGCATAATATTATGAAAATAAATTTGGTATGTATTACATATGTATAAGCCTGTTATCATAAAAATAGATATATACTGTAGATCTCTTGGATAGAAAACGTCAAGTTCTATTGCATCACTACATGTGTATATTGACTTTAATAGCGTACTCATGCTGTTGTACATACAATGTGTACAAAAGCTTTAGGAATAAAAACATATATCCCAGCCATTCATACTGTATTAATAATAGCCTACCATGTGATCAGTAGTATCTTCTGGCTCAGCTTTAGGGGACTCAACGCCTTTAGAGGGGCTACTGCTAACATCTTCTTCTTCTTCTGTTTCACCTTGTGACTTTAAATACCAAATAGCTCCAGCAGCAACAACCACAGCAACTGGAACGCCAACCAGCAGAGCAAGCTGCCACTTGGCCAGGCCTAGGGGGGTCTGTTGTTCACTCATAGCGCCCTCAGATCGTATAAAAGGACGATTTTAGTGAGTTGATTTTCTACCTTCAACAACATGCAAACATGTTGTCAAACGCGCACGTGGACGGGAACACCTGCGCATATACACCGCTGTTACGAACACCGCAGGCGATTAATATTAGTGACGGGTAACACTAAAAAACACTCCGCCATTTTAAAATGGCCGCCATGACATGAACGGAGCGACAATAAAAGACTCAAGATATTCGCTTTTAAAATACACTTGAGGGTGTTCATTCTTAACGATAGCAAGAATAATAACTATTTTTTCTTTGTGAGATGTCAGGGCCTCGAATAACGCGTAAAGTTACGGTAGAAGTGAGTAAGAAGGTTACTGAGGTGGGAAGCGTGCCTTCGTCTGTCGTGCAGCCGTCATCGTCTTCTTCTTCATACAACCCAAGAAGAAGCGTATTTGAACGGTTAGGACCTGGAGCTGTTGACGTAAGTTTTTCCCTTAATACTGTTAATACGCTGTTTTAATAAAACGTGTCAAACAAATGCTTTACATTGGTTTATAGAACACAAGGACTTTGCATAAGTTTTAACACCTTTTGTTATCACGTTGAAAAACAATAACATACATGATTTTTCTGATGAATTTTCTTTTTCCTGAGGTTTCGTTTCCCGTTTTCCTTTATTTACTTTTCCTGGGCATATTTTTAAATTGATGTTTTTTTATTCTTATCAGATTTACATGTATGTGCTAAAAGAAATCCTTAAATAGTTTTCTTACCATGGATGCATTCATTCTATGATTGACTGTTTACCCATATTTTTTAATAGCCTTAAAGGCCAGTTTTCTGCAATAATGATTTTTTAAACTGGAGGTTGATTTGTTGCCGGTAATGGTGGTGCTGCTGTTGCTGTTGTTATATTGATTGCAATTCTTGGGTTGCACGTTAATTCATAGCAGTCATGTTGGTTGACAATACAAAGCATTCCTCATTAAGCTTCTCTTGTTACCAAGACCAAGACCACACAAGATGGGGGCTGTTTCATTCTTATTTATATATCCGGGGATGAATTTTGAGTTATGTGGCTGCATCCCAATAATACTTGTGCTGCTTGTTACTGACAAGTGTTGTAACTGGTTACGTAACGGCAGGTGTCCTCAGGGAAATAACTGTAAATTTCTCCATGTTATGATTAGCCCATCCTCATACCAAAGCAAATAATTCCTCATACTGTTGGTTAGGGATAGATATGTTACCATCTGGGTTCTTTCTTTGCTTAACAGCGTAGCAAGACACGTGAGAGCTATCCACCTGACAAGTGTCGTAACTGGTTACGTGACGGCAGGTGTCCTTATGGAAATAACTGTAAATTCCTCCATGGTCCATATTCAGACCAAAAGCCCAGGTCTAAGAGTGTCAGGAGTATAGTGTCAAGTGGATCTAAAGATAGGTGGGTGATTTACTTCATTATTGAAGCCATTGACTACTGTTCGTCCCTCTTCTACTCTACCTCTACTCCCCTTTCCTCCCCTCCCTCTCTTCCCTGTATTCCCTCATCTTTCACTTATTCCTGGTACCTCCCCTCTATCCACTGTCCTTTCCCTCTCCTTCCCACTCTCCTCTTCTCCTCTATCGTGCTCCTCTAGTCCCTACTCTAATCATCCACTCCATCTTCCCTCCTCTCCTTACCCTTCCTAAACATATTTGAAATGAAAATAACAAAAACATAAACTTCTTTTACTCATTTTTTTTATATCTCCCTGATTCAAACTGGTTCTTGGATGATGAAGACATGAAGATTCAGGTAAGATTATATATTACCACCTCCCCAGCTTTCCCACTTATCCAAATATGTCATTCTGAAGTTCAAAGGAAGACCCAGTAATATAGTGTGCAAGATTGTGGGGCTGAATTTAGAACACACAATGAAACCATCCTTAGTGTTTGTGCTTGGCCACATAATTGAATGCATAACCCACAAGGGAATAAATAAACTAATAACTCCTCATGATTTTAAGCTGTACATTAAATCTAGGTATTATGACAAGCAATCCATCAAGACCCTGAACATTTGTATTTTAAGTCAAATGTAATTGAGTTCCTGCCACAGAATCTAGAAGAGTTGTCTGCCTTTTCTTCATTTATCTCTTTTTCACTTTGGCGTTTCTCTTTTTTTTTCTGTTCCAGATGAAAAAACACAAACGTACCACTCAAGGAGTCAAGACAGTATTGAGTATGATGAAGAAGATGAAGAACAAGAACAGATCAAAAAGAAAAAGAGACACAAGTCAGAAGAAGATCTGTCAGACTCAGCAACCAAGAAAACAACTAAATCAAAGAAAAAACACAAAGAGGAAACAGATGCTGAAGGTGAGGGTTTATTGATGAAAAGGGTCCTCAAAAATTTCATAAACTACAGTACCTTCCCAATTTATGGACAGTTACTTAAACTGGGATGAATCAACTGATCAGCCTAGAGGTTGTTCCAGTGTTTAACTTGTGAGTTAGCCGTGCCCTGACTTAGATCAGGCCAGAGGTTGTTTCAGGGTTTGATCTATAAGTTAGCCGTGCCCTGACTTAGATCAACCCAGAGGTTGTTTCAGGGTTCAATCTGTGAGTTAACCGTGCCCTGACATAGATCAGCCCAGAGGGTATTTCAGGGTTTGATCTGTGAGTTAGCGGTGCCCTGATTTTGATAAGCCCAGAGGTTGTTTCAGGGTTTGATCTGTGAGTTAGCCATGCCCTGACTTTGATCAGCCGAGAGGTTGTTTCAGGGTTTGATCTGTGAGTTAGCCATGCCCTGAATTTGATCAGCCCAGAGTTTGTTTTACAGGTTTGATAAATAAAGGTAATATAGAGTTCTTTAGGCAAATAAAATTTCAATGTTTTTCTTGTTTTGTCTCAGATGAGGATCGAAAAGCGAAACGAAAACGCAAGACCCACAAAAAGCGTGATTCCAGTCCCAAATCCAAACACCGCAGTCCAAAAGAAGACGAGAAGGACTGGGACACCAAGGCAAGCCTGCTGAAGGACTTTGAGCAGCAAATGAAAGATGCAGAGAACTGGGAAGACCAGGGTGGCGAACTGGATTATGATCGACAGTTAGAGCTTGAAAGGCGTCGGCAAGACTTACAGAGGCAGCTTGCTTTGATGGATGAAGAAGACGCTGCCGCTAGCGCCGAGGATACAGTTCATTTTAAAGAGAATGAGAAGGAGGAGGAGCCGAAGAAGGTACCAATAGTTCACAGCAGGCTGCATCCTGAACCATCAGCTGGGACTCCCTCCGATGATGGGACTGTACCGCAGCTGACAACCACTAAAAAGAAGAAAAAGAAGAAACTTGATTCGGAGGGCGAGGGAACGAAGACGAAGAAAAAGAAGGAAGCTTCACCAAGGAAGAAAGACGAATCAAAGCGCAAGGTAGTAGCTAGGTCAGACGAGGATGTTCCGGTGATAAAGGAGATCTCTCCAAACCCAGAGATAGTAAAGAAAGAAAGCACGGGTTATGTCGGCTCAAGTGATGACACAGAGTTGTTAGAGCATCATAAAACCAAGAAGAAAGTCAGGAAGACTTCGAAGTCATCTGGTGTCCGGGGTAGGGAGAAACACACACCAGAGCCTTACCCGGAGGCTAGTCCCCCACGGGAGCGCGTTGAACAGCCTGTTCGTAAGCGGCCAGAGGAAGAAGAGTATAGGCGTCAGGGGGGGTTAAGCCCTCAGTTGAAGCCCACCAGGGAGAAACGGAAAAGTGAGTCTGACGACCTCGTTACTCGACGCACTGAAGAAGGGCGTTCCCGCAAATCACGTGATACTGCGGAGTACTACCCCTCCCCTGATGAACATGAAGATAATCGAAAAGTACGCTCAAAGGTTGTTGGGCATGCACGAATATCCCTTTCAAACGAGAGGCAGCGTGCAGAGGAAGAAAGGTCTGACGGTAGAGCTGGCAGGAGGGAGACTGAAGAAAGGGTTACTTCACGGGGTCCTCGGTCACCATCCTCTCCAGGACATGTCAAGAGGGAAGACGAAAGGTATGTCTACGAGGACGCGGCAGAGGAACCTAAAAGAAAACGGCCCACTCGTGCTCGTAGCCCTGTTCGTGAACCAGCACGCGAAGATGCTGGGTATAAAAAAGAAGGTACGGACAGGGATCGTGGAAGACACGAGGATCCTCATGGAAGAGGCCCACGTACTCCACCTGACAATGAGGACCACTTCAGTCCACCTCCGAACCAAGCTGAAGCTACCCGCAGCAACCGATTCTCCGAACGAGAGAAAGATTTACCTCGACGCGAACGAGACATGAGTAGGGAAAGGGGACAACCTAATGATCAAGGAGATCCGAGGTACCCCGATAGAGGAGGGCGAGTTCATCCAGACAGTGACTTCGAAAGGCGAAGACCACGAGATGAAGAGGTCTCAAGAAGTCGAAGACAACCCCTTAAACCTGAAGAGTACCCAAGAGGCCGACCACAAGACGACGATCATCCGAGATACCGAGGACGTGACGAAGACTTTCCGAAAGACACCCGAGATGTCGAATTCCTTCGCCATCGTGAAGGACGGGAAGGGCGAGACGATGACTTTCAAAGACCGAAATACCGAGAAGACAAACCCGAAGAGTACCCTCCGAGATCCCGGGCCCGAGGGGAACGGGACGAAGGAGAATTCGTGCGAGGAAGAGGAAGGGATGACCGTGGGGATGAGGGTAGGGGACGCCCACCGCCAAGAGATGTACAACGAAGACTACATGATGAACTGGAGGGTAACGAACGGGATTTGCGCGATGAACGAGGAAGAGCAAGACCGGAAGGATATATAGACAGGTAAGAAACTACTTCATGTTCTTTGCATCTTGTCTTGCAATTTTGTTTCGCGATGAATAAACAGTGCGTTGTAGTTGCACCGGCAGGGTATATTACACCAGGCAATGTTTCATGCAACTTGTGTCATACATTAGACTGTAATGGTCTAGGGCGATAAGCTAAGAGCATCCGACTCGACTGAGTTAAGAGGGAAAAGAGTGACTGTTAACAATCTTGCGCTAAACGATTTTACCCGCGATGAATTAGCATTGGCTGTTATTACGAATCGTTCCAAGAGGGGTGTTACACTAGACATTGCATTGCAATTTGCTTTCGAAAAGTAGAACTCAGTTCTACTACTCGTAACGGTTGCGGCAACAAAATGGCGAGAAAAGTGGTAAGTAATTGTCCAGCGTAAAATCACCTTCAAAATTGCTGTTTACTACAGATGTTTCCCTTTTCAGACCATTTATTTATTTTCCATTTTTTCATTTTTCATCAAGCCGTAGTCGAGAAAGACCGGACGACAGAGCACGAGATCCACGCTATACACCAGAACATTTCCGCCGCCCGTCACCATCACAGGGCCCTCCTAGAGGGAGGTCTCCCCCTCATCGTTACGACGACCGGCGTCGAATCGATGATGGCTACCGTGGTGGACCTGGAAGCAGAGATGCGCCAGTTGGTAGAGGACGTGGGTATGCCGACAGAGGGAGAGGGGAGTACTCATCTCCTTATGATAGCAGGGGTAGGGCTATGGATACACGGAGAAGAACACCTCCTCTTGGTCCGAGGTCTTCCTTTCAAGACAGGGACAGAGGTCCACCAAGAGGCAGGGACATGCCTGCAGGAAGAGGTAATGTTCGGTATCGCTTTGTGTAGTTGATTAGTTATATATTTATAGTTTTGTTTGTCCATCTGTATCAGTTTTAAACAACGCAGGCGTTTTTCTATTTCTTTCCTGTGTGACAGTTTTGTCTGTCTCTGTTGCAAGCGCTCAGCGTTTGTTCTCCTAACACGTCTTGGTTCGTCCGTCAGTTCCCGTGTATTTCTTCGTTTATCTATCCCTTAGTTTCAATTTTTATTTTCCTTCTCTCTTTCCCTGTCCTTGTGGCCTCTTCTCCTTGGTTCATCGTCTGTCTTTTCATTTGCCTCTCCATTATGTTTGTTTTTCATTTTTCGTCTCTTTTCTGCTTTATTCCCAAGGAAGAGGATACGCGGACAAAACAAGGCCACCACCAAGTGGCAGATACCGCGACACAGGTGCACCATGGGAACGACGCGCAGATCGCGACTACCGAGACCACCGGAAACCTTTCGTGGAACCCGGCATCCGGGACAGACACCCGCGGGACTCATCCCCACCTCAGCAAGGGTTCCGGGATCAGAGGCCCTGGGAAGAAAGGGATAGAAGAGGGAGCCCCCTTCGAGGTGGAAACATTCCTCCACAAGAACGTCGACCTCCTTTCGATGCTGAACATGATGTAAGGGGAAGACCGGAACCTCGGGAACGGCGTTCATTGGAACCACGTGGACCAGAAGGTTGGGAATACGGGGAAGACGTTAATAAACGGTAGGTGGAAATTTCCTCCTAGCCAATCCTTCCTTCCTTCCTCTCTTTTTCTCTGTTTTCTTTCTTGTTCTCCTCCTCCCATTTATCCTTCCATTTATCCTTCCATTATCTCTTTCCCATCTATTCATTCTTCCACCCTCTTGTAAAAAATATAATCGTTTTGGCTTTCCATCTTTTCAGTAAGCGTCCTCGTCCCACCACTGCAGTATCCTCAAGACCAGGTTCACCGTTCGAGTCCAAAAAACTAAGAGAGCAGTCACCTGCAGACTTTAACGCGGATCCCTCTTTAGCTGACATCCCAGCAGCACCTGAAGAACCTATACGAACGAAGAAAACAGCCGTCACTACGAAGAAGATCAAGAAAAAGAAACTGGGAAAGAAAGAAGGAAAAACAGCCAAGGTGGGTGTTGTGAGCGACGGAAGTATAGAACCTACAGCTGGTGGTGTCGAAGAAGGCAAGATTATCAAAGTGGAGAAGAAACAGAAGAAAGAAAAGAAAATGAAAGGAGGGAAGAAGAAGAAGAAGGTTGTTGTAGCTGCTGTGGCTTTGGGAGACACGGTTACAGCGACAGCAGCAGTTGAAGAGCCTGGCATGGCTAAACAGGTCGCGCCAGAGACAACAAAAGCAACAGCAGCACCGAAGTTGGGGAAGAAGAGAAAACAAGCTGTTGCTTTGGAGGGTGAACAACCAGTCGAGAACGACGCGGAGAAACCCAAAAAGAAAAAGAAAAAGAAATATCAACCAGAAGTCGTAGTTCAACCTTGGGCCGACCTGGAGGAGGAAGACGAAGTGACGATGGAGGAGAAAAAAGTACAAGAAGACAAAGAAACCAAAGAAGATGATCAAGATAGAGAGGATAAACCATTGACAACAGAGAAGAGCGCAGATGAAATGTTTAGTGATTGGAGTGACGGTGACAGTCCTTTAGGTGATGATAACTGGATCGATGAAAATGAACAGATGTCTCCCTCCGAGAAGAAGATAGACGACGACGTTTCTTCTGCACCAGCAGCGCCTGCCAAGTCTTCTCCATCATCGGAGGACAGGGGTCCCTCGTTTGATGACGTGTACGACCCTATCAGTGATGATGAGTTCGAGGCAATGTACACGCAGAGTGACGAGGAGGAGGAGAAAAAAGAGCAAAAGGGCAGTAACAAGGGTTTGGGTATTGAGGAAGTGGATTGGAGTTCGTTGGGGATATCACTACAACCAGAGAAAGGTATGACAACATTTTTGTCCAAGTTTAATAGAAAGCACTAAATTGACAACCTACGTTTTGTGAGGGAAAAGCCTTTCGAGGCATACCAATTTCAGATATGTACCCTATAAGCCATTCCGAGGTTGAGGAAAAACCGGGTCGAGTTGGCATTGCATTGTGGGACTGTTTTGGGGGTACATCTTTCCAAGATGGCGTCTATTTCGTCCCCTAAGACATTTCCACAAAGCACTTCAATGCCAACTTCATTCAGTCTTTTTTACGACCTTGGAATGGGTAATAGCATAGATTTAGCAGCTCGTGTGTTTCTTAGCTTCGTTTGTTGGTTCTTTCCTGTGCTTCGAGGGTTTTCCGGATTCACCGGTTTTAGTGGAAGAAGAGCGACTCTGTGGAATCCACTGTTAATCCCATTACTTATTTATTATTTACCTATTATTTCTTTTACTTCTAACTTTTTACAGAGAAAGAACCTGGATCACATTTAGAAAAATTCACCCCAGGTCAAGTGTTCTCTCGTATTGGAATATCCCCAAACCTAGCTGGTCAGCGTTTGACGCAACTCGTACAAGAAGCATGCGCGAAGAATAAAACTGATACGACAAACAAACAAGAGACTGGAAACGAACTCTCTATCCCAGAGGAGGGACCTAAATGTATTGGTGCTTTTGTGGCCGCCGCAGCGGCGAAAAGACGCGAGCGCGAAGCATTAGTGGGTAATCTTGGGCCATGTCGACGTGCTTTGTGCGCGCGCAGAGATTTGTCGATCAGAAAGCAGCTTGGAAGATCTTCGAAGGTAAATATATGCGATAGTAATAATTATCATCGCTATCATCAGTAGCTTGTGCTGATGAAGGCGCGAGTAGTTGTAGTCTAAACCTGTAATTAACAAAAAATATATGTTTTTATTATATAGATATCGATGAAATACCAGGTTTTCTCTAGTGTCGAAAACTTGATATCTTTCACCAGTGGAAGATACCTTATCTTTCACACGTGAAGATATCGCTGTTGAATCGGCTTGCTATTTTAATAAAGAATTTTTGAGCTTTTGTTTTTGAGCTCGTGTTCAATTTAGATATCTCACTCGTGAGATATCAATTGAACACTCGAAGATAAAATTCGTATCTCCGCACGCCCATGTAATACCCTCAATATACAACATTAGCAAAAAATGTAGTAACGAATATACCATCAAAAACAGCAGCAAAAACAACAGCAGCCACACAGCACCAGCAGCAGCAACAACAGCAATACAAAACACCAAAGAAACACTAACAATCTTTGACAATAGTCATGACTAAGATTTTCCTTTTTTTCTCCCGTTTAGTTTGATAAAGTAGCTCTGTTTGCCGCATCACAGTCCACCCCAGTAGGACCCCCAGTGGATAACGAACTGTTTCAGATGAGTGTTGCACTCTACAACAAAGACTCTACGAACACTGAAATAAGCACCAGGGTTATCCCTTCTAAAGTCGGCTCCATTCTACTTACACAGGCCTAGTTGATTAGATCATTAGTTAATATATCATATCACACTCTGAATGACGTCACAAAAGACGTGTGTTATTATGACACAGGAAGCCCGGTCGGGTGAAGTACTGCAAAAGATATGCGACTTATTTTAAAGCTCTCGACAACTTCATTTAAATATAGTGGTAATATAATGGTTGTCGTATGAGTGGGAAACGTACGGTACTGACTTAAGGCTACAAAATTTGCTTCCCACTCATACAAAAACCGTGCACTTTATTACTATCAAATGAATGAAAAAATTTGTATATTTCTTTATTAACATTGCCACAATCAAACTAAAAATCTACTTAACTCTAATATGAACCAAAATATCTAACGCGTCCCGGCGAAACCTCGGGCAATCAGTCGGTCTTGTGGACAACAAAATCACAGGCCTCTCTAAGTTCGAGTTTGGTGAAGTTTGAAAAAAATTGGACACTGATAGCGCAGTTATGACGTTATTCTGAAATTCGATTTGCGTAAAGTAACCAAGGCTATTTATCCATTCAAGAATTAGAATTATCTGCTGTTGTCCTATTTTCGCAGTTTTTGCGCTTCATTTTACTTGTACAGCAAACTACGAGGCTCAAGCAACGGATTGTTCTCTGGTCAGCAGTAGCCTTGCTTGAGAACAGCCGCGCGCAATTCTAGTGTGTTGTTTGTAGCGTCTTCGTTTCTTCTGGTTGCGCCTGTCCCACATGTAGACCAACAGCACGGGTCCAATAACTAGTAATAAAGATAGATACGAAAATGCCAGTAGAAGTGCAGCGGAGGGGATTCTTCCTTCTGTTGATTCAACTGCCAGAGCTACTACAGTTGTGTTGACATCTGATAAACAAAGAATCAAATTAATGAAGAGATTTATATATTAGAGTAGGGTCTGCTAACAAAATCGGGCTGTCTTTGAGCGATTTAGTACTGTTATTTATACAGAACGAGATTGGATGTAAATAGTTCACAGCTTTTGAACCGGGCTCTTCTCTTTCATCAAGATTCGGCCGATATAGATAAACACTGGGAACAAGTGAGCGGAACGTATGAGTATAAAGGAGAAATGGTAACAAACTCATGACTACGCGTGCGCGCGTACAAAGACTGCTTACTTTACTGATAGCAGAACTTCACCAGATCTTGTTTTAATATCCTTCCCTCCCTCTCCTCCCAGACTTAGAAAATCGAACGCAGCTTACAAGACTCACCATTTGTGATATTCTTAGGCACGTGTCGTGCGTCATCTTTTTCAAACCATTTCAAATCAACTTTTGGAACACTTGGCTTTGCAGTCCATTCCTTCTCCACCAGTAATGACACAGGTTTCCCGTTCCAATCAGGCGACGAACAGACGTGTTTCTCACTGAAGGTGTCATTGAATACTGTTTCTAGACTGTTGTTGCCGTTATTACCGAATGAAGATTGTATTGTGTTGTTGTTCTCTCGGCTAACAGTACCCGGGAATCCTTCGTCTTCCACCTCTCTCTTCCTCCGTAGTTTTCCGTCACGACTAAAAGGAGACGTAACATTATTTACGCAGCTTTCGTTACAACTAGCTTTCGTTTGGTTAACTTCAATAGTTCCTTTCAATGTAACATTGTTCGCGCAGCTTTCGTTACAACTAGCTTTCGTTTGGTTATCTTCAAGAGTTCCTTTCTGTTCACAGCTGCAATCAGTTGAATTTCTGCCAGGCTCTTTGGAATCTAGCTCTTCTTTCGATTCCTGGCAGTCACTAGCGTTACCATGGCGCTTGTCGTCATGGTTACCACTGCAGTCTTTGATTACATTGCTAGTCTTTGTTTCTTGTGTTCTGTTCTCGTGGTAGCCAATCACAGTGCATAATGCTCTCAACCTGGTGTTCGGGTTTATTGACGTCACGAGGAATGAAGCATTGACCCTGAAGATTATGCGCTGATTCGACGTGAACAGCATCCTTGTAGTCATCTTGTTTTCTTGTCTAAGATTCAGAAAAAAATCTTCCATAAAAGAAAATTGCTTATGTTTTTACTATTATTGCAGGTTCGATTTCTTGTCAAGTAAATTTACATTAGTCGCGTTCATTAACTTGTCACATGACTTGTCACCGTTCTCGCGCATTCTCATCACTTATCCGGCTTGTCGCTGGTCAGTCGCGATTTCATAAATTTAATCTTTAAAGAGGAAGCCTAGATCACAAAGTGGTTTTCACTAGGGTCATCCCTTTACGACACCCATATAATGACTCAACCACTCCTTTTTTGTAATTCATAATTTTTTGTAATGATCATAGATACGTAATAAATGTACACATTTGAACAAGAAAGAAATAAACGTACCAGAGGAAATGACAATAACAAAATGACTACCCCTTTCACAGGACTTTACCTCTACCACCCAATTGACATTGCAGAATATACATTCTCTCTGTACGATTATCTATTTAGTATGACTCTCGCTTACTCACCCATTCTCTATCAGTGACAGGACTTCATCTTCGACGAATAACCCACAGAACTTGACGAACAAACAAACCCTCAACTCATTCTGGTTTGGAATGATTTGTAAGTCAAAGAACAAATCTTGAGGCTTCTGTAGTTCAAACCTTACGACTTCTCCAGGCGACAAAGGAAGGGAAACTTTGGAATCTCTGTACAAGCTCAGCTGTGCTGTCATCTTAACTGTTGAACAGAAACATTTACTGATTGATCAATATTTATTGAGAAATTGTCGTTGCAAACTTTATTCCGTGGGGGGAGGGGAGTAATCAATAGTACGAAGGGGGATGGGGTAAATTATTAAGAGGTCAAATGATGGCTTTATTTTTCCTGCCGTGCTTAAGAGCGATAAAGTGCGCGAATCATAAGGCATTGGAAGGTCTTGGTAGAAAGGTGAAAAGCGCTGTACACAGGCTACCTTTAGTTGGTCGAAGATTGGCTCAAATGGCATCAACTTTAAACCAATCAAAAAGCGAGAAAGCGCAAAGCAATACATCATAGTTCAGAATGTCAAAAGCCACTGGAAAGTCATATAACACCGTTCGTCTCCAAATCTAACTAAACTATGATAGAGATCAATATCGACTTACTTGAATCGCTCCATTCCTCAGAGTCACCACTGGGTTTGGTCTCGTAGACACACGTAACTTTAATACTCGGGCTAACTCCTTGAACCACGTTATCAAAAGCATAATATCCACCGATGTTAACCAGGCGCGTCTGACATCCATATAAGGGAGCTTTGAAGGTCACGTGGGACGAGTTCGTGGATGGCTGGCACGATGAACTTCGTAGGTACAGCACAGACATGTTGACGCCTGGGAAGGACTCGCGTAGAAGGGATATCTCGATGTGTGTTGGAAAACATGATATTGACACGCCTATCACCTTTGATTCTAAGACCATCAATAGAAAAATATGCGAGCTTTGATTAGGATTTCTCAGAGAAGCCCGAGTAAACTGGATATAGATATTCAAGTTTGCAAAGTTATGGGAAGCCAGAGTAAACGCGTGAAAGCCTAGCGGCCATTAAGTTTTCTACAATAGGCGGGATGGATGAATGAATAAATGATTGAATGAATAAATGAATCGTCCTTGTTCTACGAAAATAGCTAGTCAACAAATCTGTGCCCCTCAAAATTCCAGATGTGACGCAGGCTACTCATTCCACGATCAAATTGCAATTTAGAAGCGGATTTTTCCACAAAACAATATCATCTATATGACCGTGAAATATTGACATTAACACAATAGCTCATTTCTCACATTGCGAGCACGTGAAATTTCATGCTGCCTCATGGGAGTTTATGAAATACATGCATAAAACACAAATAGTTGAAGCCAACTCAATGCGCAGGGAACAGTTCTCCTCTAGCTACAGTTTACCAAATCGTCTAATGACTGGTTTATCGTTACCTGAGGTATTCACTGGCCTAACCATCCAGAGCCCCAAAACCACAAAGGTAAGAAATCCTGTTATCATCTTGAAGAGTCTTCAAAAGCAAACATTTTGAATCCAAGCTAAGTGGTATACGAGCGGAATGCGATTAATGCAGACGATTGAACTTAACACCATCGCGCGTAGCTCATGGTCTAATGAGATCCTTGGTATTGTATCAATCAGTTCATTAGCTCTACTTGTTGAAATTTAAGATATTATTTGACACTTTCACTTGATTTCGAGGCTTTATCATACAAAAGAATAGATATATGATAATGTTTGGTAATGTACGATATGCAGCAAAGAAAGAGAGAAATAAGAAAGAAAAAAGGAAAGGAAAGGAAAGAAAAGAAAAGGAAAGGAAAGGAAAGGAAAGNAAAGGAAAGGAAAGGAAAGGAAAGGAAAGGAAAGGAAAGGAAAGGAAAGGAAAATTACGAAAGAAAAACAATCTAAAACACATGGACATTTTTATCCCGTTGAGCCCGCAGTTTTTACCTAACCGCTGACCCTTTGCTGTTTTTGTAATGAAGGGACGGGAGGGTGAACTAACTAACACAGCAGGGGCGCAAGAACAGGCGAGACTTCAATTAAATCACGTTTGTACCTTGACAAGTACAAAGGATGAGTACCACGTTCAATTACATTGCGTTAAAACGGCTCAAAAATATAAAATTCCTTCTTAAATTGCTTCATAAACATTCCAGCCTTAGTCACTTCATTTGCGCCCAAGTAATGAAATTTTTATAACTTATTTCAGTTACGTAGTCTATTATCTTCCCTATCGGCATATCGCGGTGAAATCTAAGATAAACATTAGTTGTAATAGTTGAGTTCAGCAGCAGTTTTTAAGGCTGTACAATTGAATCGTACTCAATATTTCATCAAGTCTCTTTCAATCCAACTCTAAATTGTAGACTAAAAAGGATATTCCATGAAATTTACATCAAATTATGTTTTGCCTGGCTTTTCGTTAGGTCACGTGACGGGACAATTTTTTCATCAATTAGCAGAACAGTTTGCCTAAACCGACTGTAAAGATCTAATCCGGCATTCTGTCGACCGACATCAACAAGAGATACCCCGTTAAGAAATGATATATAGTCATTTATTATTAATTATTCTCACTCATTTTCTATTCTCTGGGTTCAACATTTCAGTACTGTCTGTTTCTCTTAGATTTGCTATAGTCAACGAACGTAAGAGAAGCACTTTGTTAGTTGTCGTCAAATTCTTTGGAAAAGCTGTGGAATGGTCGAATAGTGAAAAAGGTACTGAATATTCTGCATGAGAATTCGACAATTTCATTCACGTGTTTTCAAGAACGGCCTATTTTTAATTTTCTAGCAAAAAAATGCATCGATTAAATTTCCTTGCAACAACTTGTATCCAGATAAAATTGCAACCTTATTGAATTCATTCTTTCCTTTTTCGATATAGCTCTCGTACAATAAGGTATCTCTTAGAGCAATTTCAGATCTAAGATTTCTAAACTTCTAAGCAAAACAATGGTGACACTTTTCATCGTTTGATGCGGCACTTTCTGTTCATTGATGTACGTATTTGTCTCCGTATTTGTCAAGATTTGCTATGATTTGAATCAACTTCATTGAGTCAACTCTAAAGCCACCGGTGTTTTTTAGTATTTAGATTTTGGATATCAAATTATTGGTACTTTTCCTGCAGTTTTCTCGGGATATACATCCTGTACCAGATTTTTAAAAGGATCCACTTGACATTTCTTTAAATGTACTTTATTAAGGTAGTTTAATTTAATTTTTCAAATGATCAAGATTTTCTGGTGCTATCTGCTGCCCAGCACGGCCAGTCGTATGAATCATTCCGGAGTTTAAGAATATAAAAACAATAACGCGTGATTCATCCACATCCACCCTTAATTCCATCCATCTTATCCTATTTATTCATCCATCCATCCATCCATTTGTCCATCCATCCATCCATCCATCCACCCATCCGCCTCTTCTCTCTATGTCAGTGGCGTAGTGAGGAGAGGGGGACAGGCTATACATTGAACATTGATCCCCTATGACCGAGACCCACTACGCCCCTGCTCCATGTGATCAAAAACAAAGCAATGATTTTGATTTTTTCCAACTATACAACTTTAAGAATTGAGGATTCATAAAAACAAAAATTGGTTATTGAAATTGAAATAAAATCCTACCAAAACGGAGTTAATTTACTGACGTTTTTTACTTGTTGTAGTTATTTGTTGTGGTTATGTAATCTGTATATGCCATTGTTTCTATTTCTTTTAGTCTTAATAGATTTGGGAGGAACGAAAGATGTCATTTGAAGATCAGCCGTGATTTTGCAAAGGAATTAACACGTTCTATAACCACCACAAATCACTTTAACAAGTGAAATGATTGGAGAGCATGTTAAACCTTTCTTCTGCGTCTAATTATTATTTACATCAAGAGTATTTGAATTTGAATCAATCTTATCTGGCTCGTTGAGTACGGACAATCGTTTCGGGGCTGTGGTGAGAACTATTTGGGTCCTGATTTGCTGGTTTAACAACAACTCTGCTGGAACATTATAATATTGTATTCAACCGTGGAACCACTCTATACTAAAAACATAAGCAACACAAAACTTCAGTACTACACGCGTAAATTCTGTAGTTGATTTACTCTTGATTTCTCCGTGGGAAATGCATAGTTCGATTATCTCCTTTTACATCGATGCCGACCCTTTGAAAATACATCGAGATTCTTGAGTTCAATACACGGTTCAAGTTTGCACAAAGAAACTGACAAAGCGACAATCATGCCCTCGTTCAAGAAGATTAATGAACAAGAAGAAGAAGCCGAAAAAATTCTACAAGAAAAGCCAGACTCTGAGAAAACTAAATCAAGTTTTAACCCAACAAAAATAGGGCAATCTCTACGAAAAATAAATCCGAAGAAACACTACCAAAAACATGTTCACAAACGCCTCAAAGGATCGATGAAGTGGATGTTATGGATTACAAAGAAGGTTCAAAGCCGTGGAGCTGCTTTCCCTCTGTTCTTGGTTTTGGTAAACACTTTGTATCTCGTTCTTGGGGGATTACTTTTTATGCTTTTGGAAAAACAGCCTCCAGTTAAAATCAACCCTTCAAACGAACTAGCAGAAATCTTCAATATACTCAAGGTTAGTTCATACCAATACTATAAGCACTTAAAATAATATTTTCATTATAAATAGGACAAATTTTTTAACAACTAACAAACTTTTTTTAAAAAAACCCGAAAATTTAGATTAAGATACTACGATGAGTACAGAAATTCTCTTGAACATTATCGGTTGACAAGACTGTACGTCGTCAGTACTATCCGACAGCATATTTATAAATAATTTAGTTTGCTCTCACTACTTCTTTCCTCAAATAACATAGTATTTTCTCTACAAGGCTAACAACCCTTAGTACCCAAGAAATAATTTTCAAGTTGAAAATCATTATATCAATTGTTATCGATCAAGTTACGATAAAGGATTCCCTTTACTACTATAATCAAATCGTCAGTTTTAGCGCGCGAAAATACGGCTTCGTGTCTAAGTTCAATATGTCTTTATTATAATTCACGATGATCGAGCGTAATAATTTTTTAATGAACTGCTGCGAGTTTATTCGAAAACTGGTATTACAATCTTTAAATTATCTTAAAATATTTGTCTACACAGATTTTGACTTTGCGAAAGAGTGTTTTCAGGATCGTAGCCTGAATTTGTTTATAAAATAAAGTCTAATGCAGTTAGGTAAACAGCGTATGTTCTTATGCTACGCTCCTACGCTTTGTTCTGTGTGTAGAATAATCTTTCACGTAGCGAATAACCAGCCCACATATTAATTTTCAGGGACTTTCAATCTCGTTCGAAGCGTCAAACCGACAAGCGTGGGTTCTCCAATTCAGTAGTACGGTGTTGATAATTTAATAGAATTAGCGCGAGTTTCGTCTTCAAATGCGATAAAAGACGAATTCTGTAAAAATTTCAGCTATCTTGTTTATTAAATGTTTTTGGAATTCCAAGCCCAACCCCAGAGATTGTTATATCAAGGGAAGAGAGGTGAAGCGGCAGGCAGTTCACACGCTGATTACCATACAAAATGAGTTTGCGCATCAGTAGGTTTTGGGCGCGTTCTCTCTCTCACGCGAAATGATAAAAATCCTCATCAGATAGATTTTCAATTTTCTCATCCTTGAAATACTTAATTCAGTACCATAAATATAAACGCTGTTTTAATATATCCTAGTGCCTTTTAGTTTTAAAGTTTGGTAAACTTTTGAGGTATTTCCATGCCTGAAAGATAGGTCGCGCAAATACAATAAAAATTCCTTTAACGAAGTTCGCAGAGAAAAGAAGGAATTTGATATTCTATTAAAAGAAAGTTAAAATTTCAAATTATTACCAGGTAATAGTTTGGGATGCTATTGGCAAAGCCCTTGAAATCGAGGATTTCACCATTATTCATTGGGGACTTCAAATAAAGCTCTTGAATAAAAGGATTTCGACGATCCATTAAAAACAAAAAATGCTTTAAAATCATTTCTAATCTCCCTGGGAGAGAACGAAGTTAGCCTTTGTTCTCGTACTTAGCGGAAAGCTGAATCTAAATCTAAAAAAGAGCTAAATCTGAGTAATGAGAATTAACTTAAATCAACATACGTTTTAATCCAACTGTGTGCTTATTTGAATAGAAAGGACGTTTCTCTTGATTGCATGTTTCACGCTAGTTTGCGCAAATACAGATAAGATACTAGGTAAAATCCCTCCGCCCTTGGATGTTCGTGAAGGAATTTCACCATTAGACATGCAACAGCGACTTACTCACGTATATTGTTGATCAGTGTCATAAACGACTGATTTTCTGACGCTCAATACATTTTTGAATACAAAATAGAGAAAACAATCTACTGCCTTCGGTTTACTGAACCGATAGATTACCTTTTCATGTATTCATGATGTATTCAGTATCACTTATTGCAGAATGACCGAAATATTCTGAATTAAAAACAATCATAATCAGCAAATTTCTTCAGTTGTTATTGTTTTTTCTCAATACAGCTGTTTGCCAAAATCAATAATTTAGTAGAATACTCAAAATTAATATCTTCTGTTATGAAGCTATTAAATTATAATTTTTTTATTTATGTAACACTTATTTGATTGTTTGTTTATCTATCTAAGTTATTTTAAAGCGCCTTTGATTATATACGAATAGAAAGGGCGCTATAAAAATCATCAATCATAATTAATCGGTAAATGTTTGCACCTATTAGATAGGACCTCATTGCACCTTTTTAATTGTAGGGCTATAATTTTAACTCTTAGTAGACAAGTATCATCATCGGTTCTCGTAGCGTAAAGAGTCACATAAGGGCTTAGTATACAAGTATTAGACCAAAAGCGGTTGGAGCTGATATTTGAACACTTAGTAGACAAGTATCATCATCGGTTCTCGTAGCGTCAAGAGTTACATAAGGGCTTAGTATACAAGTATTAGACCAAAAGCTTATGGAGCTGATATTTCAAATTTGGTTGAAATCAGATTGAAGTGTGAAGACTATATTCCCCCTACCCTTCCCCTCTGCAGTACCAGATCTGTCCTTTTACTTCACAAGCTGACTTCATTTTTATGTCTTTCAGAATTCTAATGTGGGGAGTCAAGCTTTACCTGACTTTAAATCTGGGAGTGCCATGGTCAGTAACCTCACCTCCTCTGATATCGATCGATTTGAAAATGTCCTTGAACGAATAAACAGCGAAAGAGTGGCTGCATCTAAGCCTGAATGGACTGTTCTTAATTCTATCTTTTTTTGTATGACAGTAACGACTACTATAGGTGAGTTGACCTCCTTCCAAAGTGTTACGGTTTACTCGGCAAGGTGCGGTGCATGTAACAACATTCATGGAGCATGACGAAGAAAATTGGCTTAGATCCACACTGTAAATCCCGTATTGCGCATGACAAAGTAACTGGCTTAGATCCACACTGTTAATCCCGTATTGCGTATGACAAAGTAACTGATGACAAAGAAAACTGGCTTAGATTCACATGGTTAATCCCGTATTGCGCATGACAAAGAAACTGGCTTAGATTCACACTGCGCATGACAGGGAACGGGATTACGTCTTTGCTAACTGTTAATGGGCATGACAATAAAATCGATAATTTGTTCTGCGCCTGTTACTATGATGATTATGGAACACGCGCCCGTTGCTATAGGAACATAACAACGGGCACGCGCAATATCAATGTCAGGTAAATTTATTTTATTTCATATAACGAAAAATCAGCATATTTCTTCGTGCGTAGTAGAGAAATCTGGCTTATTTCTTGGTTTGCACAAGAGTTCACGCACAAGACAATTTCTTTTTTTCTTTCTTCAGGCTATGGTCATCTTGCACCTGTGACAACCTTTGGTCGGATGATTTGCGTGATATATGCCCTTTTAGGAATCCCATTGACGTTAGCTCTCATGGCTGTTATTGGTAAACTCGTTGGGGACTCCATAAACCACGCATGCTCACTATTCCTAAAGTGGTTACAACGCTTGTATCCAAAATACGAATATGAAAGCAAGTAAGTTAAGTGTGAGCCAGCATAAATGGTTGTGAGTGGGTGGGTGGGTGGGTGAGTGAGTGCGAAGAGGTTTTTGCACTAGTCACAAAACACACCAGGGCCCGGTTGTACGAAGCCTGGATAGCGCTATCCGGCGGATAAATCCTTATCCAATGGATAAGTCGATGCTGTTATCCAATAAATTTATCCACTGGATAAGAATTATGCATTGGATAGCGCTATCCAGGCTTCGTACAACCAGTTGTTTTAAAATCTATTTTATACCTAGTTAAGATAAAAGGGGGGCGGGGCTCTTAAAAAATACAGCTGCTTTCACTCGGAAAATTATCCAGATGTAAAACAAAACTAGCAGTGTAATAGCCTCTATTAAATGCGTTTTTTCCAGTAATCCAGACAATGAAGATGGAGAGATAGACGCACCTTTATGGCTTGGTTTACTTATACTCTTTCTCTTTACTGCCATCACCGCTGCTCTTCATTGCTGGATGGAAGGCTGGGACTTTGGTACTGCCTTCTACTTCCAGTATGTCACTTATCTGACCATAGGTTTTGGAGATGTTGTACCAGATAAGCCGAAAGTAAGTTATGATGCCTTTCCAACCAGCCCACCAACCATCCGTGCATCCATCCATCCATCCATCCATCCATCCATCCATCCATCCATCCATCCATCCATCCATCCATTCATCCATCCATCCATGCATCCCTCCATCCATGCATGCATGCATGCATGCATGCATCCATCCATCCATCCATCCCTCCATCCCTCCCTCCCTCCCTCCCTCCATCCNTCCCTCCCTCCCTCCATCCATCCATCCATCCATCCATGCATTTTATGTTTAGTGAGTTTTACATCAAGTACTCTTTCTTCTTCTTTTTCACAGTTCGTGTTTATCGATATTTTCTTGACATTCCTTGGTCTGGCCGTATTGTCCGTAACTCTTAGTCTTATCGCTTCCAACCTTCATCATCAAATGCAGAAAACTTCATTTCTGGAGAATCTGATGGAAGATGAGCTTAGTGACGCGTCATCTGTCACGTCAGACCAAGACATTGAAAATAACGGTAAAAATGGAAAACGAAAGAAAGAAGAAGAGTCGGCAGGTATTACAAGTAGTGACTCAAGTGGAGGGAAGTCTTATGGAACTACGCAACCGTGAGGAGTCGGGAATGGCGAAAAATTAATAGTTCAAAGCTTGCATTACAATCAAAAAATTAAAAAATGATTGGCAAAATGAAAAGGAAAGAAGGAAGAAAAAAAGTAAAAGGAAAGGATAGAAAAGAATAGAGAAAAATATAACAAAATAGAAGCACAAGAAGAGAAATGAAATGAAATGAAATGAAATAAGAATTCATGAATAAATGGAAAAAAGGAGGTCTTGAAAAAACAAGCTAGGAATATTTCCAGAGGATAAGTAAATGTCAATTTTTAATGAGAAATATTTTTTGCTTGAAATGCATGCTGTTTTCAGAAATAAACTTGCGATTATTTTACGTTCATGGGGAGGCGATGGCGAGCATCACGTGATAGTTACAAGGTTGCTTAGTAACCAAAAAACGGTTATTAATGAAAAGCACGACAAAATGTATAGGAATAAATAATATGGTGTTACTCTACTAATCATAAAAAATTATGACGCTAGCTGAAGGATAAAACCTTTTCGGTAATCATTGGTAATGTCACTAAGAGCCTCGCAATCATGCTAAAGACGCGAGGTTACATTTATGAAATAATTCAACTCGACTGTTTTACAGTCTCCCTCTCGGCTATCAATTCAGCGGGAGACTGTGAAAAAGTCTATCAATGGATTTCGTCACGTATGAAGAGTCGCCTTGTGGAATGGTGGATAGAGTGAAAATGTATTTTCTATTGTTATGTTGAGGCCTTTTCATGAATTTAGACAGAAATTAGGTTGAAAATAATTTACGTTCGTTTGAGCACAGCGAATTAGAACTTAAGAACTATATCCCCCTTGGAAGATATTCCATTCTCCCCCGCTGATTTCCAAAATGGCTTCTCTTAGAAATTTTGAAGACCTCTGACTTTTTATAGTCGACTGAATATATCTGAAACACTTTTTCAGTTTTCCACTGATATGAGGTAAAACCACTTATTATATAATTACCAATGAAATATCTATTTTTCTCTATTTCGAAAAATTGATATCTTCACACGTGAAAATAACATGTTATTTTCACGTGTGAAAATAACACCATTGCGATGGCTATTCAAAAATACACGGAAAGAATTGCCTGAAAAAGCCAAAACATACTTTATTGATAATTATATAATAAACAGAATATTACATGGGCGCTTGGAGATACGCGATTTATCTTCTCGTGTTGAAAATCTCTCACTCGTTCGCTGCGCTCACTCGTGAGAGATCTTTTCAACACTCGAAGATAAATTTCGTATCTCCGCGCGCCCATGTAATATCCTCTATTTCTTTCTCACTGTCCGTCTAAGAATAATAAGAAATCCACTTCTTTGATATACTTTTCACTATTTTTGGCTGTTGTTTTGATGAAATATTTCATATATGACGATATATCTAGTTTCTCTTGCATGACCATTTCCTGTGTCACTGAGTACGTGGTTTTGTTTTGGCTTTGTGTTGTCATGACGACAGCCTGCTTGTTTCAGACTCAAATGACATCACAGTAAGATGGCAACCATTTAATTTTATTTGATGCATGACAATGGTATTCATTTTTGTACAATTTATTTCATAAATATTTTGGAGAAATTTTTTTTTAGTTTAATTTGAGTGTTGATTTTGACTTTGTGTGAAAACATGATAAATACAGTTTTTTCAACTTATTATCTTAATTTTGCACATTTATTTTAAATTTCATTTTCTTATAAAAGGGATAAAAAATTACAATGTACAGACAATTCAACATCATAAAGTTGAAAACACTAAATATAATCGTATCGACAGGATCCGAATCAAATGTAAATCGAATTTCAAAATTTCAAGATGTGTTCTTATGTACTTTTACAATAAATATTCATATAAAAACTTTTGTCTTGAAAGTCATTATCATAAAACTTGGAAAATATCAATTTTCTCATGAAATTCTGTACCCCATTTTATATTTCTTTTGTACAGCGTTGTATGGCCTTTTTACCGGCATTAGTTTCTAGCAGACATTTCTTTCTTATTTTTCGCTTCCTTTGTGGATCGGCTGCGTGGATTTTTCATATAATTATTAGAGAGATTTTTTCTCCTTTTAAGTGCATTTTGAGTTCTTTCCCTTCTTCAATAATTCGTAATTCTAGTAATAGCCACTTTTCTACCTAATTTTAACCTGGAAGTTCATTCTTGAAGTTCGGCGCGTGATTTCCAATTGAATACTTTGCCAGCAAAGATTCCTATACATAAATAACAGTCTTTAATTTTCAATGCTTGAGTGCCAGACTCATTCTGAATTTTCATTTCGGTCGTCTTTCTTGGTTGACTTTGATTTTGACTTTTTTACTTTGGACTTCTTGCTGGAAGAGGCACCTTTAATTTGAACTCTCTCTTCATCATCGTCATCTAAAAATAAATTCAAAACGGGCGATCACTATGGGAAGAATTTACCAATAATAAACTGACATCTGAGCCAGTGTATATATATATCTTTACTGGAGAAGCTTGTTCGCTAAAAAAGTCAATATTTACAATTAAAGTAGAAGATATAGCTTACCGTCGTAGCGTGGAAAGATGTTATATTCAGGGCCTTGATAAGGAACGGGGCCAGTCAGAAGACAAGCAAAAGCATAAGCCACAGTACAGTATTTCTCGCCATCAGACTTGCCTGCCAACATCGCTCGTACTTCTGAATCCATTTTAGTGTTCACAAAGTAGAAACTCTTTAAATCTGTCGAAGTATGTACTTTAAATGCAAGAAACGTTCAGTAAAGCTGGTATTTATGGTCCCTCTCCAATAGCACAATGTCCACTATCCTCTGTTTACGTTGAGACTGTGAAACTATAAATGGTTAAACTTTGCTTGTCCATCCTCAATTTATATCATCGTAAATTAAATTCCCATGATATTTTGGTCCGTACTTTATGCGGGATTTCGGAAGTGGATGATGCAGATGACCAATTAACGCCCACTTGAGAAGATGAAAGACTGTACTGGACGTATGATAGTCATGGACTTTGACATGGATCGTATACGTGTTCAATGATTTTGTAGTTCACTGACCACGTAAGTTTTACGCGGTTTTAATGTCGAAAAAGGATTAGGCATTTCCCTCAAGTTTTCAAGGATTTTTTTAGGGGAAAAGTTCATTATATAGTTTGTTTGTTTTCATAATTTACGTCTTGGAAAGATTTTCTTTAGAAATTATAAACAAAACGAAGTGTTTCGCTTTCACCTCGTCAAGGTCACAAGCCACAAGTGTGAATCAGCCAATCACGATCACGCTCAACCGGAACAAAATCGCTTTTTGTACAAGTCAGCCGGGGTTTTCCCTAATAAAGAAGTCCAAATTCATTCCACCGAAACCTCTGCTTCTGTATTCAAGAATAAACAATTAAAGCCATTCGAATCAAAATCTAGATTTATTTTAAATCAAGGGATTTTTCACCATATCATCATCTACGGATAATAAATATGAAGTGGCAAGCGAAAGATAAGGATTTCCTTAAATTTTGTCAGGCGCGTACATCGTTTCAGACAAATGCGCGAAAGGTGTGCATAGGCGCACCTAAAACGTATCCTGGGCTTGACTATATTAGGATGTTAGATTCCCTTCATTCATTCCAGATCTGTATCTATTATATTTCAGTGCTGAGACATTCAAATAAAGTGCAAGTTAGCCAGGAGTCGTGCGAAGTTTGCGTTCATGGCCTGGCAAGCCTTTAAACATAATATCCAACATGTCTGAATGGGTAAAAGTTATCCCTTTAATACCCTTTAAACAAGAAAGCAATTTGTACTAAAAATTGAAATCAGGTTTGGCTTAGAATTTGAACAGAAGAAAAAGAATATATGGCACTTTAGCGGCTTTCGCTGTAAAACAATCAAACAACAAGAAAGCACTGCATCAAAAAAAGCTATTCCAAAGGCAATGTCCTACACATTTTTCATTTATAAGAAATTTTCTGAAGTGAGATGCAACCAGAAATGTTGGAAATTCAAGGAAATGTGGTTTTAATGATCGACTTTTTGCGACTCATACGGGTCGAAAAAAGGCGAAAAACAGTATCCCGGAGAATAAGAAAATATAATAAAAAATAGATTTTTTAACAAATCACCCAAAATTTGCTGGTGCGAAACTCCCAAAATCAAGGAAGACTTAGCCGCTTTTCTTAGCCTACGCGTAACAACAGGACCAGCTAGAAAAAAATATTTTTCAATCTGGGTTTTTCTATTATCGCCCACGCAGAATACTGGACACTTAGGTCATCATCTTCCGGTCAGCGTCGACCAAGGTCATAAAATATGACATGCGCATATTAGGTAACCAAAATGGCAGACGAAGTTAGGTTGTTTTTCTTAAGAATTCTTTAAAAATTTGTAAAACAATCGAAGCAAGCTTAGTAATAGATGCTTTTATAGGGTAAAATGAGTAGGACATTTATTGTGGGATGTGTGTACGCGTTTTTAAGGAGGTTGAAATTATGAAGGCAGAGTTAAAACTGGCTTTGATGAAGAGCAATCATTTTGAATTTTGGCTTCAACTTTGGTGACTCGTGTAACGTAAAATGGGAGTCAAAGGCCTTTGGCAGCTTCTACAACCCGTAGGACGACCAGTAACTCTAGAGTCCCTTGAAGGAAAGGTTCTCTCAGTTGGTATCCTTTTTAAAAGTGTAAAATTTTATGAAGTGTTACAAGTAGATATAAAGCCTACAAGCCATAATGTTTCTATGAACGAAGTCATCTTTTTATCTTTTACCTAGGAAATTGTGGAATATTTATGCAAATATTATAAATATTTTATGAGACTCAATCTTTTCTTAACTTGTTGAATAAAAAAGATGCAAGTATTTTATTGAATCAAGCAGTGAAAGGAATGCGAGACAAGTCAGGGAACCCTTTGCCGAATGCACACCTTGTTGTGCTGTTCAACCGGTTGTGTAAGCTCCTGTTCTACAAGATTAAGCCGATCTTCATCTTCGATGGAGGGGTGCCAATACTCAAGAAGAAAACCTTGGTAATGATTATAGTTTTTACAGAGCTTTTGGCTTGAGAGCCAATCATGTTAAAGATTTCATTGATGGCACTTGTTAAAGTTGTGTATGGTATGTTGTTAATAGCACAGCGCGCTGATTCTAAAAATAGCTTAAAAATTCGGACAAACATTGCATTCTGTTTAACCGCTACAAGGATTATACGAACCGATTTTATTATTTTTAATCAAAGTTGCAATACAATAATATACAATAATAACAATACAATAATAACCCATGTAAACTAAGATCAACTGCGATCGGCTGTGAAAATTATCTGCTGAAAGTAAACTTGAAAGTTTGTTTGTCCAAATTTTGCCTTTGTCTTTGTTTTTATGACGTCATGGCTGCGCTGCGCTATTGTTATTTGCTCCATTACATTTTTGAAGTAGTGTAGATCCAGAAGACATACTTTCATACTACTTTAACAGTGAAATGACGAAATTTGTCATCAGTAAGAGGACAGACATACTGAAAACTTGATACATAAAGAAACTTGATGTCAATTTGTTTTTTACAATGACAAAAACCACAACAAAAATGATGAAAATCTCTCATTTTTAGTGATCAAAACAACCAACCGAAAGATAATATGATCATTGACGTCAGCTTAATTTCTGTCCTCTTATTGATGATAAAAAAGCCATCAGCTGCTTGCAACAAATTTGCATGTTCTTGAAAAATATGATACTGTTTGATGAATATTTGATGCATTACATGTGTGGCTTAGACTCCTACAGAAAAAAAGAGCATAATGAAGTCTTGTGAAAATATACAACGATACCAGTATACCAATATTAAACAATATTTGTTGCTTTTGTTTATTAATCTAATTCTGTAGGCTGTGAGAAGAGAGAGAAAGTTCAAGGCAAAACACGGTTCCAACAAAGCCACTGAAAAAATGGTCAAAAATTATCTAAAAGGAAAGGCACTGGAGACTGTCACTGGAAAAAAAAGGTATAAAATTTTCTTCTTTGGAATTTTTTCCATGATGCAAGTTGACTAAATAAACATAATTAATTTATTACAAGTTTAATTATACATCTTCTTATTAATCCCATATAGGTAACTGTCCAATTATTTTATTACCGTCATCAATTGGACAGGTCTTGTTGATATTGAATTAATTAGGCAGCTATATAATTAATAGGTAATGGGATTTCATGCTTTCCAATCAAGAAATAATTAGACTCGAAAAATTCCTCTGACTGCCAAATTGGACTCAGCCTATGGCCTCATCCAATTTTGTCAGTCCTCGGAATTTTCCTCATCCAATTATTTCTTAATTGGGCAGCATGGAGTCCTATTACATATACAAATTAGCTAGAGTGAAGTCACTAAACCTGTGAAATAGATATTAGACTAATGCACATTGGTGGGCCCTAATTCCATTGTTTTCTTTAACTATTGCACATGTATTGAGGGGTTTTTTTTTTTTCATGAGTTAAATACCTTCGTTCTAATATAGCTCAACATGGCATGTTGATTTTGTTTCTTCCAATATGTATTTATGGGTTCCCAAAACATGATATACTTTGTTTTCATATCTATTTTTCTAATTTGTTTTTAACAGCATAAAAACTATTTTGAAGAATGATGGCCAAAGAGACCCTGATATTTTTGAACTGCCTCCAATGAACCAAGAATCCAGACAAGAGTAAGTTGGCTGGTTTTTTAATTTCTAACTACATTAGAATAATTGTATCATAAAATAACTGCTAGGAATCTTGAGTTCTGATTGGTTGGAAGAGCATACTTTATGAGAGCACACAGCACGCACGCACACTTTCAGTTGGGTCATGGCCTATCTAAAATATTGGTTATCATAATTTGTATTTTATAAAAGAAATAAGAAACTTGCTTGGTGTGCTGTGTGGGGTCATAAAGCAGTTAGGGATTTACAGAACACCTGAGAAGTGTCAAGAAGCATTCTGCTACTTGTCGTGCTTCTCCTAACATTAGCTTTTCTCGTGTTCTGCAAACCCCTGCTTTATAATGGCACACAGCACGCATGCACATCTTCTATTTCTTCAATTGTATTACAGAGATGATAGATTAAGACAACTAGGTTATAGAAAATTAAACATAAAATATTTTGTTTAGATCTTCTTCATCAGAGGCAGAGGATGATGATGGGGTTGAACAGTTTTATAGCCAGCAAGACTTTGAGGTATGGTGAAAAATGGATCAAAACTGTTCTCTTTATTTTTATCTTTTATTCTTTTGTTTTTGTATATTTTTGCTTTTTTTTTTTTTCTGGTTAAACTGTTAACTTTTTATCTCTAACAGAAAAAGTTTCAAGATCCATCCTCCATCAATGTTGATTCCCAAGATTTCCGATCCTTACCAGAAGAGGTCCAACATGAGCTTATTAAAGATGTCATGGAAGAAAGAAAATGGACAACTATTCAGAGTATGCCTCAGGTACAGAACATGTTTTTGTCTGTTAATTGTAGGTACAGATTTCTTTTCCATTTTTTTGATTTTTTAAATACTTTTATATACAGATATTTTTATGTCAAAACTGACACATTTTGATCCAAAGCTGGTTGGTATGTAAAAGCCCGTTTGGAAGTGAAAAGCCAGTAAATAGAAGTATGCAGATACGTTCAATGTAGTCATACCTTATCGTGTCGTGCTGTAAAACTCTTGTATAACAGTTGGAAATTGTACATAACTTTTCTAAAAAGTGGCCAGATACATTCTGTGATCATGACATTGTAACTACAGAATCATTTATTAGCATTCCTGGATTTAATGGGGGTGTAACATCCAATCTAAAGAATTTAATGGTTTTATTGATGAATCTTGGTAAAGCTCCAGTGTATGTGGGTTTAGCCCCACTTCTGAGGTTGGTAAACAAAAGCAGAAATTAGAATAACAAAACAAGCTTGCTATTCCTGGATTATGGCCCAAATACACTGGAGTTTTAAGAGTTGCCAATTATCATCTTTCTAATGATATTCATCATGATTGTCTATCTAGGATGCTTTTGGCTTCTCTGACTATCAACTCCAAAATGTTTTACAACGTGGCAAGCTTCACCAACGTCTAGATGAGCTGCGCAAAGAAATGAGCAATCATAACAATGGTGAGGTATCGGGACTGTCATCCCAACAGGATGCTCTGGGGGCTGATTCCAGTGTGCTATCACAAAGGATTGTCTCTGAGGATTCAGGTCACTATGTTCTTATCAAAACATCCAAAAATGGTTCAAATGAAAATCAAGGTATTAATACTGATAGCCCTATGATTCAGAAGTTTTCATGCTCAAAGCACACTTTTAACACAACATAAGGAGCTAAAAAATGGCCATTCTCACATACTCAAGTCATTTTTGCAACTGTTTTTGCCTTGTTTTGAGCCCTGCATATAAGAATTGTTTTTGGTCACTTTTGCAAATGTTCTCCAAAGTGAATCGATTTGAAAACAGCAATTTATTAATTGTCTTTCATTACTTGTCACAACTACCAAATGTGCCTGCTCATTTGCCAAGCAGCCTTGTTTTTGAAAATAATAATCATTATTATCATTGTTGTGTATTTGTTACATATAGTTGAGACTGATTGCTGGTTGTTTTTAAAGCTGCACAAATAGTTTTTTCCTGTTCAGTAATTTACAGAAATTTCATTTACAGATACTCCCATGATCGACAGCTTGAGCGAGGGAGGATTTTTCCTTGAAGACCAAAAAGCCCCTCCACAACAAACTAAACGAACAATCCCTTCACAAGTGCCTTCTTTTGAAGTGGACTTGACTTGTGAAGCAGCTAGCAGTGATTCTGAAGTCGATGTTTCTTTGTTAGACGTACCTGAGGTTGTTGTCTTAGACCTGGATGAGCCACATGAGAAAAGAGGAGATGGGGAAGGTGAGGAAAGGAATGCCAAGGCAGAGGATGGCGGGAGAGAGGACATGGTGGAGGACAGCTTGCAGGATCAAAGTGTTGGTGTTTTCAAAAAAATTAATGATGAAGTCTTGAAAGGGGAGGCAAAAAAAGTTGATAGAAACAGTGAAGATAATATTTCTTTGAAAGACAATGGTTTAGAACAAGAGAACAGGATAACAGTAGAAGAAACACAAGATGAATTAAGTCTAAATAAAGAAGAAACTGAAGAGTGTGACTTCATCCAAGCCCAAATTGCACGGCGTAGAAATCAAATTGAAATGCTGCTGAGCAAGAGGCAATCAGCTAGTCACCTCTCTACTTGTGAAGAGGTTTGTGAGAAGAGTGTTCAAAGTGATGAATCATCTCCTATTACTAGTTCTCCTGGAGAAGACATAGCTGCACCTGTCACCAACGAGGGTACATTACCAGTTGAAGATGGAGGAATTGAGTTTAGGCTGCGTTTAGAGAGCAGCAGTGATGAAGATGAAGAAGATAAAGATGACATCACTGCAAGAGATCATGAAGAGACAAGCAAGATAGACCCAATGGAAGAGGTTGAAGGTATACAAGAGACACAACATGATGATCTGGAGAACTTCAAGGTTAAAGAACTAGAAAAAGACAGCACTGATGTAACAGGTAAGACTTGTGATAGGATTTTTGAATGGAAGTCAGGGTTTGAAGAAAGTTTGTGCAGTTTCGAGGGTGTGGATCAAAGGGTTTAAGGAAAAACACTCTCGACCCCAAAGCCATGTCATTCTTAATTCCAGGGACTATGGGAAACTCTAGCACCGCTAGCCACGAAATGTGGCTACCTTATATTCAATGCACATGCTCAAATTTGAATTATAGCTAGAGCATGTGCTCCCTAAATCAACGATTTTCACTTTTAATTTTTACTTTTGTGATTTTTAGAATGCATTGCCATTTTATTGACTTTCAAGGCAATATTACACTTTGCTGCAAGGGCTTTTGTGATTGCTAGCTTGGTTTTGTATCAATAATCATTAGTAGATAAGAAGTTTTGTTTGAAAGCTTGTCATTTTTTTTAGGTCAAAAAGAAGATGTTCAAGTTATAGACCATCAACATGATCGAGATGAGAAAGTAAAAGAAAGCACCATGGAAGAGGAAGAAGGGATGGAGATTGAAGAAATAAGCTGTGCCAGAGAAGAAAGTTTAGTTCCAGATGAGAAACCTACTGAAGTAGAGACCAGATCATCACTTGTGCAAGCTCCATCAGAGTTTGCAGGAACATCCAAGGTAATTTTTGTTTGCACTTTTGATGGGAAGTCATTAAAACCTTTTTTCAGTATATATTTTCAAACATTAGGGTAAAGAAAGATAAAATACTCAAGGGAATGGTTTTTACTCCCACAAGTCTACATGTATACCACTAATTGGTGTTTATAAGCATTAGCAATTTGTTTGATTTGCCAACCATCCTCATGATAGTTATTGCTAAGCTGCTTCATTTCATTAGTGAATTGATCTCTAGTTGGTTTGACGTGGGTTTGATTCCCGCCAAGGGCATTATTTTGATATTTTTCTCTTAATTCTCTCTTTTTTCATTACACACACCGAACGCATAATTTATTACTATAATGACAATAGCTTACGTCACACAAAATAGCGCAATATACATGTTTGTTACACGGAGAGATCAGGGTATTGATTGGGGAGGGAGGAGACAAGGCTTTGAGAATAAGCCAGTGGCTGCCGAGACTCATTACCACCTATTACAAAACATTCTGAAAGCCCTGAGAAAATGAAAGCGTCACACATTTGAAAGGCACAAAAACGTATAGACTAGTTCCGTGTTTTCCTAATGAGAAAGATGGTATGTGTGTGGTTAAGTGGGGGGGGGGGGGGGGGTGGAGAAGAGTGGGGTTAGGATAGACATCTAGTTAACTCAAAAAAATAGTAATCGTACTAAATAGGTTAAATAGGTGAATCTATGATAACATAAGAAAAACTACTATAAATCAACAATTATAACCTTCATACGTTAATGTTTATTCGTGTAAAATGTCAATGTATTTTATTATACACGATACCGAATAAAAAAGTCTGTCTGTCTGTCTGTCTGTCTGTCTGTCTGACTCACCCTCCATTTTGTTCCGTTTGAAAATCTATTTGGTTTCCCCCCCAGGAGGATTTGGAAGTGATGCAAGTAAGCTTAGGAGTTGAACAGCAATCTCTCCAGACTGAGAGAGCACGTCAAGAAAGATTGGCAGCCACTGTGTCGAATGAAATGCTCACAGAATGTCAGGTAAATCTTGTTTGGGCTTCCTGTGGTTTCATTTATAAGTGGCAACCTGTGCAGTCATCCATACCTTTCTTGGGCTTCCTGTGGTTTCATCCATAACTTTCTTGGCCAACCTGTAAAGTCTTCTATACGTTCTTGAGCATCTGTCAGGTCATCTATGCTTCAGCTAGCCTTACGGTTTTGTCTACTACTTTTGTGGGCTGCCTGTGATTTCATCCACATCTTACTGGGCTACCTGTGGTTCTATATTTTCCAGGAACTCTTACGGTTATTCGGTGTACCATACCTGGTCAGTCCCATGGAAGCTGAGGCACAGTGTGCATTCCTGGACTTCACCCAGCAGACAAATGGCAGCATCACAGACGACAGCGATGTCTTCTTGTTTGGTGGAACAAGGGTGTACAAAAATATCTTCAACCAGAATAAACATGCAGAACTGTACACCATTGATGCCATTAYTGGACACTTAGGTAACGTAGTCGTTGTCATAGCAATCGATAAATAGAAGCCTTAGCACGAGGAATCGTGGACCAGGTCTAAGGAATGTTAGGGTAAAATTTTTCCCTCAATGTCGAAGAGTTATTATTGATCTTTTCAGCTTGGGCGTAATGTATTCCCATTTCAGTCCATTCCCTTGAGTATTGTGTTTTCTTTACAGTAATGCTTGAATAGACGGAAATAATCGAAATCATCTTGTTCCTTAAGGAAATATACATGTCTTGAAATAAGAAAATATTACATACAATTCAAGCTGAAATAGTTCTGTTTTTTCATCCTAAAGAGAAGACCAAGACTGGGTGTTATAATGAAAACATATTAGATATTAACTATGATACTGACTGAATATTCCATATCTTTCAGCTTTGGATCGTTCAAAGATGATCAATCTAGCTTTTATCACGGGAAGTGATTACACTGAAGGAATCCAAGGTACGCGGATCCACAACTGAGGGAATTTCTCAAATATCTTGGGGTCGTCATCTCAGCATCTTTGTTTTGTTGTGCATCTGGGTAACCCATAATGCCTTGCGATTCAAGATGGCCGCCGCATCGTCGAAGTAATCCATTTTTTTCCATAGTATATATATTGATACCTTGTTTGTTTTTTAGGTTTAGGTGCTGTAGGTGCTATGGAAGTGTTGCATGAGTTTAGCAGCGAGGGCTTTGAAGCTTTGATAAAGTTTAAGTAAGTCAAACTGTTCTTAATCAAAACATTTTAAAGCTCTATGAGGTTTTAGAGAAAAAACTAAGAAAAATAAAACAAGTTTGTGCAAGGAACAGGAACAAGTAAAAAATCCACCAATAATCAAACAAAACAAAAACAGAAGGGAAAAAAGAAAAAGAGAAAAATGAGGAAAGAGTGGAAAGAAATAGATTCTAAATGAATATTTTGACAAGCATTATTTTTTATATTTTCAGAAAATGGCACGATGAGACAAAGAAGAACAGAAACTCGACCCAAGAAACCAATGTTAAAAAGAAATTAGTAAGTATTTATCTTATTGAAAAAATATCAACATTTCCTTTATGACATTTCCTTGATCTCCTTACTGATGAAGAATATAACTCTTCCTTCTTCAGCGGAAACTGACCCTTCCTACAGGGTTTCCGTCTCAAGAAGTCTTTGATTCTTACGTTAATCCTGTGATAGACGAGTCACGTGAGGCATTCGAGTGGGGCAAACCAGACTTACATGGCTTGAGATTATATCCTTTAAATATAGACTGAACGAACGGACGGACGGACGGACGGACGAACGAACGAACGAACGAACGAACGAATGAATGAATGAATGAATGAATGAATAGATTAATATAAAGTGTACTCAATTGTGAATGATATACAAATCAATGAAATTTAAAAATGAACAGTTGTAAAATAAAGAAAAATATTCTTACTTGCCTTTATGAAAAAGTAGTTTTTCTTGACTGTTTTAAAGTTTGCGAAGGAAAAACTCGGTTGGTCTGCTGAGAAGACAGACGAGATTTTACTTCCGGTCCTAAAGCAGTTGAACAAACAAGAGGTCAGTAGTTACCACTCGTGTTTTGATATTCTGGTATTTTATTGGTGCATCGTGGCTCATTGTCGTTGCTTGGTACTCGAGACTAGTTACCAAGCCCTAATGACCACGGAAAATAAATCGGAGATTTGCCGACAGCTTTGCATGAAGTTACATGCAAGCTGTGCGATGCTCTCCCACAAAACATTTCCTTACTATCTTCTCTCTTTCTCTTTCTTTGATCTCTTTACTCCTTTCATTTTTCATTCATTCAGCGATGCTCTCTCACAAAACATTTCCTTACTACCTTCTTTTTCTATTTCTCTTTCTTTGATCTCTTTATTCCTTTATTTTTCATTCATTCATTCTTTCTTTCCTTTTGATTTGTCTACAAGTCACATGCAATGCGTGATAGCGTAAAAAAAGACCTCATCAAAAACTATGATGTCAGTATTGACATGGGCTGCAAGCATTCCCAAGAGAGTCAGAAGACAACACATGGCGGCCATTTTGGTGCCATAACAATGGATAGTAATAAGAAATCTTTTGTGTCAAATGGCACCAACATGGCCGCGATGACGTAACGTACAATCGAAGAATTCCCAGTAACTTCTCATTTTGATTTGTTTGTAGAATCAAATGAGAATGGAAGACTTTTTCCAGATAAAGTTCCACGAGCCAAAAAAGAAACCGAGTAGACGAGTTCGTCGCGTTATCAATCAATTCCACAACCCACTCAGCTCTAGCGACAGCAGCAGTGAAGATGAAGGTAAAACACCGGGTAGCTCGCAATCGAATATCACGAAGGGAAGAGTCAAAGAAACAGGATCCCGCAACAAGATGACGGTATCTCGAGTCGCTCGCGGGAGAGGCCGTGGACAGTCCCGAGGGCGTCGCGTCAATGATGGATCTAGTGGTCGGGATGTAAACGACCGGCCGATTGTGTCTAACCATCAACTGGAATCTGGTACGATGAAAGACAGCGATGCTGGAGGAGTAGAAGGGCGTGGCTCAGCATTGGTGGGCGGGAAGCCCAAGAAGGAAGGTAGGAAGATAGGAAAGAGAAATATGGTTGGGAAGGGAAAAATAAGTAATCAAGAATTGCACATGCGAGATAAAGGTAAAGGGAGTATGACAGACAAAGTTGACTGCGACGTTAATGCTCTAGAGAAAGATAATGATATGATAAAAAATAATTCAAAAACACAGGGAGACCATAACGATAAAGATAAGCCTAATAATTTATCGTTCAATTTGGAAAAAAACGAAAATTATGTATCGATGCTTCAAAGAAATAATGTAAAAAATCTGCGATATAAAATTCCGAAAAAAATCTCCACGACAAAGAAAGACGAGTCCGGGTCTTCTAGACTCGGGAATGAAAACGACGACAGCTCGACGTCTTCCGACAGCGATTCCGAAGAAGCACGCAGCAACTGTCCCAGTTCAGGGAATTTATCAAGGACGAATAAAAATGGTGGCCGAGGTATGGGAAGAAAGCGAACGAGAGGTAGAGGACGAGGAAGAGGAGCTGGTGCAGTAAAAAGATCTAAAATAGAAAAAATGCCATGAAAAGCTAAAAATCTATTTATATATCTTATTTAGGGAAACTATTTTATACTCTACCGTGTATATATGTTTATTCGATGTAGAGTATACCACACGATATTTTTTTAAAGGGATATTTTCAACACCAGATAGCCGAATATATTAACGAATTTGTACAACAATTTGTAATCTACTGTATATATGTATTTATGTTTTTTGAAGTTTAATGTAGCATAGGTAGACCAAGAAGAGTGGTCAACCATAGTTTGTTAAATGCAATAAAAATGTGACAGCAGATGACCGAGTGGTTTTTTTCTTGTCCGTTGTACCACATGAAGAGATGAGGCGACAAGATCTCAATGTCTTCATCTCTTAAATTCATGTCAAACGTCGAACTTCACATGAGCCGAACCTAATGACATCGAAAATCCATTGTTAATAATAATAATAATAATAATAATAATAATGATATTTAATGAGGATACTCCACTCATAAAAATGATTTTCAGGGAGGTCCTAAAAAAAAATATATATATATAAGTGAAAATAATTGACCGAATCGACCGAAAACGAAACGACCCGGCGCGACCTGGCGTGATTCACGAATTAGGAATCACGCCAGATCGCTCCGCCAACAACCCAAGCCCCACACCAGCGCGCGCGACCACAACGCCCCGGACTCGGTCGAAAATTCCAAAAACCATCATAAATTCGTGATATGATCATGAAAAAATCTTAAAAAGCTTCTTTTTGAAAACCTTCAGACTGTCAATATTTCTCACTTCTAAATTTAGAGAGTTCCAGTCTTTAGAACAATGAGGAACTGTTCTAAACAAACCCCAGTTGGTCCTAACACCTTCAAAACTAAGATTGTCCTTATATCTTGTGTTATAAGAATGGATTTGTGATAATGAATAAAAGCCAAAGTCATGGTTAATTAAGTGATTTAAACATTTATAAACAAAAATACAGCGGTCTATTGTTCTTTTCTTGGCCAGTGGAATCCAGTTTAACACTGTCAAGGCTTGAGTCGCGGATGAATGCAGATCTCTTCCAAGGATCGTCTTTGCTGCCCTGTTTTGAAGTACTTGTAGGAGTTCCATCTGTACAGAGTTCCTTTTGTCTCCCCAAACAATACTGTTGTATTCAAAGATGGGCTTGATCATAGTGTTGTAGTAGGTTATTCTGGCAGATAGTGGTAGTAGAAACTTGATTCGGTTCAGAACAGCAATTCSTTTGCGTATCTTAGATGCAATGCTGAAAATGTGATCGTCCCATGTTAAACGATCATTAAGAGTAACACCCAGATACTTGAAGCTGTCAACACGCTCAAGGTCCTCTCCACAGATTGTTAGAGACATGGTAGAAAAAGGACCAGTTCTTACAGAATGACCAAAAAGCATAAGCTTAGACTTGGATGCATTGACTGTTAATTTGTTTCTGTCAAACCAAAGAGCCAGACTGCGAAGATCATCGTTCATTTTTTTCTGYATTTCCTGAGGTGTACTTWCGGAACAATAGATAACAGAGTCGTCAGCATATAATGTTACTTTGCARTGTTTTAACGACTGTGGTAGATCATTTACATATATAATGAACAGGAGAGGGCCCAGGATTGAGCCTTGCGGAACTCCAACTGTAACGGGAAGAGCCTCAGACATGGTATTACCAACTTTAGTAACTTGAGATCTCTGAGTTAAGTATGAACTAAACCAGTTGAGATCGGCTTCCAAAACTCCGAAGGACTGTAATTTCGTGCGAAGAATGGTGTAATCTACGGTGTCAAATGCCTTCGARRRATCAAGAAAAGCTGCTCCAGTTACTTTTCCCTTTTCCATACCGGTGAGTATGTTATCACAGAATTCAGAAAGGGCTATGTTGGTCRATAATCTTGGGMGAAAACCAAATTGATTCTGAGACAGCAGGTTGTTTGATGATAGATATGAGTATAACTGTTCAAAAACTGCACGTTCAAGTATTTTGCTGATGGTCGGTAGGACAGAGATAGGACGATAATTACTCGGATCTGTCTTTTTACCAGATTTAAACAAAGCCACAACTTTTGCACATTTCCAAAGAGATGGGAACTTTGATGTAGTTATTGACATGTTAAAAAGATTTGTCAATACAGGAGCAATGACGGCGGCACCACTTTTCAGAAGTCTTGCGCTTATATTATCTAGGCCGATGGCTTTGTTTGACTTTAATTGAGACAGCTGCTTTAACACAAAATCCGTTTCTATTTTTTTTCAAGTTAAAAGTTGTTGAAGTAACTTGTTCCATAGTATTCGATGCAGTAAAGTTAAAGCGGGAKGCCAGAGTACGTCCAATACTTGTGAAAAAATCATTTAAGCAGCTTGCTAAGGCCTTAGGTTTTGTAATTGTAACTCTATCTTTAATCAAGACGTCAGGGCCAGAACTTTTTTCGGATGACTTAGAAGGAAATATTTGCTTTAAATGATTCCACATCTCCTTTGAGTTTCCTTTGGCTTTTTCGATGAGCTGAGTGAAATACGTCGATTTCGCTTCCTTGATATCTCGGTTGACCTTCCTTCTGAATTCTTTGAATTTCTGCCAGTGGTGGGTTGAATTGGATTTAACAGCTTTACGGTGATGAAAATCACGTTTCTGCATGGAGCACAAAAGATCTTTATTCATTCAAGGACAGGGATTGCCTTTAATTGTACGACTTTTAGTTGGAGCATGTTCATTGGCAACCTCAGTAAAAAGCTGGTTCCAGGTGAAGATTGCATCATCAATGTCTTCGAAGGATTCAATTATTGACCAAGGAATTTTTTCAAGGTCTGCTACGAAATCTTTTTGGTTGAAGGTTTTGAAGGAGCGGTAATCAATGAGTCTTGCAGGTCCTTTAGGGATACCAGATTTGATGATACAATAGACAAGAGAATGATCACTGAGGCTCAGATGTATAACTCCAGACTGAGGAATGTTCACTAATAATAGATCAATCAATGTGCGAGAATTTTCAGTAACGCGCGTGAAATCCTTTATGATTTGGGTAAGGCCAAATTGACTTGCAAATCTTTCTAAGGAACGGCGATGTGGATTTCTGTGTTTAGAATAATTAACATTAAAATCTCCAAGAATACAAATGTCACAACGGTCAGAGTTTTCCAATTTTGAAAAAGCTGATTCCAAACAATCAATAAACGAGTCAACATTGAGATCTTCTGGTCTGTAGACACAGCATACATACAAACATTTGCAATGATTTCTATTGATTTTTATCCAAAGACATTCAGAACCACTAGGAGTAAAATCATCCAAAACATCATAAGCGAGGCCATTGCGAACACAAATAAGTGTACCACCACCGCATTTTTTAGTTGTGCTGGCTCGGTCTTTCCTGCAAATAGAATACCCATCGATGGAAATCTCACAGTCCAAAACATCATTCGTTAACCAGGTTTCAGATATAGTTAATATATCGAAATGTTATCCATTGCTTCAATTAGTTTTGGCTAATGTGAGGTTCAACGTTTCACATAAGCCTTGCTATTCTAAGCCTAAGGTCAAACGTAAAACTTCACATGAGCCGAACCTAATGACATCAAAAAAGACCGCTTTGTTATCCATTGTTTCAATTAGGTTCGGCTCATGTGAATCTCGACGTTTGACCAAAAAAATTTAATTGTCGATAATCGCAGAAAAAGTAAATAGCCAACTTTCGATATTCTGGTTAAGTAGTCAAGCACAAAACATTTCGAGTCGAGGCTCCGGGGAAACCAAACTATAATCGTGATTATTCTTTTGTTTTCCCCAGGGCCTCGACCCAGATTGTTTTGTGCTTGATCAATTAACTAGAATATTGAATGTTGGCTATTAGAATGCTAGAAGATACTTAAATTGAGTATTAAAATTAATGGCCATTGTTTGATCTGATAAAACCATTTGCTCGGCCGTCAAACTATAATTCAAATTATGAAAAATTGATGACATTTTTATTTTTATATTTTTACCCTAAAAAAATCAAGAACTGAAATCTATCAAATTATGTTTGCTCGGCCAAAAAGAGCTGAGATAACATCAGAAAATATGAATGAAAATTAAATTACCATTTTCATTTCGCGAAAAAAAGAAACGGAATATTCTGTAAGATGAATATTCTGTAAGATGAGCACAAATAGCTCATTAAATGACCATCTTTAGGATAAAAACAAGGAAACGACTTTTCATGTCTTGCAGGAAGACGTGGGAACCTGTAAAAAACGTATATATTTTCCATTATCTGATTGGATCGTTTTTGACGTTAATTAGATTGAATATTCATTATACATTATGCAAATGCAGTATAAAACGAACGGGAATTTCTGTATAAGATCTTTATCCCGTAAAATCGAAGTCAGGAAAGGTAGGAATCAGATCGTACAAGATGCTTTCTCATCTACAAAGAGCACAAAGACGTAGGAGATACGAAAGAGCTTCTTCTGCCGATGATACACCTTCAACTCAACCCGTTACGCCGCCGACAACACCAGAGACACCAAAACTGGAAGGATTTCATTTTTATTCTTCGACAAAAAAGTTCAACTCCTCATTCGACAATGGCACGAAAAGTACTTCACCAAAAGTCTTTCACTTCTGTCGACGACAACTGAGCGATCCTGAACCATTAGTTTTAGATAAAACAAAGGTACTTACTTATCAAGAAAAGGAAAATAAACAGAAAGCGAAAGAAATGAAAGCCACTGATATAAAGGCTACAACTACGAAGTAAATTTCTTGAACTTCAGTACAAAGAAAAAAAAGATATATTTTAAAGCCGAAATGGCGAGGCTTCCAAGAGAGACGGATTTGCAGTACATTGCCAACGAGACTGACATCTTTCAGTACATGAATATCTCATGAATCTCTTTGAAAAGCCGGCAAGTATGAAAACACGTCTGACCAATCTTTTCCTTGGCGATATTACATTTCATGTTGTCGTCTTCGTTTTGACTTCCTAATCGCCTATTTACACATCTTTTTGTATCAGGCAATACTATGGCTGGTATTAGGTCGGGAGTACTTTGGATAATTGAGTATTCGTGTGTAGAGTCTAGTCTTATTGATATGACAATCTGTGAAAAAATGAAATCGTTCTGACAAAAAACGAAAAAAAAAAACGTCTGCAAAAGAAAGATGTCTAAATAAGGTAAATTTTTAGCTATTTTTTGCTTAAAAAGTTCAAAATCGACAAAATATTGATGTTTCGTTTGGAAAAACTTTAAAAGCCGACAGAAAAATCTTATACATATACTCAACACAGAAGGAGTATCATGGCGCTTGTCGTGTCTTTGAAATGTTTATTTTGTCCACGGAGCGTCTTGTTGAGCTAAAAAGAAAACACTCAGTAGTCTCACAGCAAGAAAATAATTTGAAATTAAGTTTAAAGGTTTTAGGACCTTAATTCTTACGAGATCCCAGTAAACCTCCATGCAACATCGACAAACCTTCACGTGAACGCTACGCGCATCGTCAACAAGACACCATTTACAACAGCCCACCTCAACTACTAATTAAAATTGCCAAAATCTGGCCATATTTGCTTTACTGTTAGTTTCTTTATATTACAGACAGAACATTTATTTACTTTTACTACGTACCTTACTGTTTTGTTTGACACCACAAAAAAACCTATAATCTATGGTTCTGGACTTTCGAAACAACGGCTTCGAGTATAAGGCTGAAAACGCCGATTATTTTTTTATTTGTCAAAATAAAACTGATAATGAAGTCTAGAACTGTGAGAGAGAAACTTGGTTTGTGTTAGTCATAGCCACTAATAGTGTACTTAATTATGTACTATTGTTTTGATTCACTAGAATTTCAAAGGAGCGCTATCTTTTTCATCTTATTCCCTCCCCCACCCCACCCATGCTGGGAATTTCCTGATGTCTTCTCACTACCCAGTAATCGACTTGACTTTTCACCCCTTGACAGTGGTCTTGCAAAAACCACGATTTCAACAGGTGTTTACTCCAAGATTTCCCTGTCTTTTCAACCCGCCCTCAAGGTTTTCCTTTTACTGTTTTCTAACACCCACATATTTTTCCACAAACCTTACCCCGCCGAGATTTTGGTGATTACCAGACAGGAAATGGTGGCTGGTTGATGGGTGGACATGAGAGTTCTGTTCCTGATAGGACGCTAAAGATTCGCCCTCAGAAACGCTTTCAAATTTTATCGGTACCCTGAAACAACCTCTGGGCTGATCTAAGTCAGGCCATGGCTAACTCACGGATTGAAGAATTGATTGAAGAATGATTGGGAAATGTTGGATTCATCCACTTGCACACGGCACCAGACTGGCTGCTAAAAACAGGATCAACAACACCGATTCGATCTTCATACTTCACAATACTAATGAGTTCGGTGCTCTAGGCTTACCATGAGGTCATTCGCTTTCTTCGAAATAGCAGTCTAATCATTTATTAATAAAGAACAAATACGATCCAAATAGCTTTCTTATTCACAAACATTTCAGTCAATGAGGCAAATATATCCACCGCCAACACTCGAAAGAAGGTTAATAAACTGTCAAAGGTCGGATGATTCATATCCGAGCAGAGAATAAGTTGGTTTTCATCTTTGTGTTCAGTTTCCCCATTTCCTTTTCTTCGAGTTTGGCAGAATATCATATCCGATCTGTAATGATTTCGATGACTTGTTGGTTATCATCTTTTAGGTTCAGTTTTTTTACGCTTCCTCCTCTTCTCTTGTTTGCCTTCCAATGGCTGTTTTGTGAGGCTCGACTTTGCCGGAACTGATCATATACTAGCTGGAAGGGTATCCATGAGTTGGTTATCATCTTTTGGATCAGTTTTTTTACGCTTCCTCCTCTACTCTTGTTTGCCTTCCAATGGCTGTTTTATGAGGCTCGACTTTGCCGGAATATCATATACTAGCCTGCTACCTAGAGCGCCGCTACGCATGCTAACCACATCAGTAATCATATCCTAACTGGAAGGATATCGATGTAAGAGTTAATTACCGAGAACGGAGGGCACTAGGCCCGAGGGATGTATAGGCTTATTGCCGACGTTCGAGGTAATTAAGTATTTTATTTATCAATTGAGAAGGTTTTCTATCAAATGTTGCTCATTATAAATGCGAAACCTCTGTATAGTTATTAACCGGGTTGATAACTGACTATATATTGACCTCGCATTTATATTGAGGGTTATAACAAAAACTAAAGCCTTGTGAATAACAAAGAAAACCGTGTCAATTGAGAAATAAGAGTTGTTATCATCTTTTAGGTTCAGCTTCTTACACGTTTCCTTCACTTCACGGTTCATGGCTGTTTTGTCAGGCTCGAGTTTGCCGGAATATCACATCCGACTTGAGGAGTTGGTTATAATCTTTTAGTTTTTTTTCGTTTCCCTTTCTTCTTGTGCGTCCATTGCCTCGAGCTTATCGTAGCGGTTGAATATTAGTGAAAGAAAGTAAAAACAAAAAACAAAAAAAAAAAAAATGCAAGACAAAATGGAAAGGATAGGAAATATGGATACGTAGAAGAATGGAGACATGCAACGCGTCTCAGTAATCAACCCAGTCCTCTCATCCTTCTTACCTCCATTCTTCACCTCTCTCTCTAAGCTCGGTCCAAAATCACCAGGGATAAAAAAGCATTACACAGAAGTTATTGACGCCATATGTGGGTGATTTAATACATATTATCAGCAAGATACAACGAAAAAGGATGTTTAAAACTAAACCGCACAAATAAAACATGTTGGATGAGAATAAAAGTATAAAAACATTTGTGAATTTGTTCGAGAATTTGGATAGGTTTATGATAAGAGTTATGTTGTGTCTGTATAAAGCTTAATATACAAGTCAATTGACCGGTAGAGTATTCTCGTCGCTGATCTTCAAGGGGTTTTGAGATATCCTTTGATATAGACTCTCAGCGGGAAATACCGCTGTCGCCATATTACTGCGGGATATGGAAAAACAAATGTCTATTCATCCATCATCGCCATCATCATCAACATCATTAACATCATCATCTTCATCGCCATCATCATCAACATCATTAACATCATCATCTTCATCGCCATCATCATTTTGATCATCATCATTTTGATCATCATCATCAGCAGCAGCAGCAGCAGTAACAGTAGCAGCAGCAACAGCATCAGTAGCAGCGTCACAAATGATATATGTATCGTGGTGTGATAATAACCACCATCATCATCATTATCATCATCATCCAGGGGGGGAGATTTGGTATCTCTAGTCACTCCCCTTGGAGTTTGTAATAGGAACCGGGAGTTAGAGAATATACACCTATTTCGAAGATCGTTGTCGCACCAAGAGCCTCAAGTAACAAGCCAAGGCTCCAGAGAACGTCGGTACTTTTAATTATAATTGATTTATTCATGGTTCATGCAAGTGGCTATAGCTCTACACTAATTATCATCTCAAGCAGCCTTGCTTGGAGCAATTTGTGAAGTCAATAAATGAAAATGCACCATGAATAAACTAATTACAGCTAAAAGTACCGGCGTTCTCTGCGGTCTTGGCTTGTTGCTTGAGGCTTTTAATGCGACAACGATTTCTGAAATAGGTGAATAAGACAAAATATGAAAAGGACACTTTATAATGCCTTTCTAGATAACCGAACCCCCCTTGAAATCGTTCTGTATCCACCGCTGATTAGGCACCATCATCATCATTACTTCATCATCATCACCATCATCATCATCGTCATCATCATCACCATTATCCCCTAGGAACATGTCATGGGTTTATTCCAGGGGCGAAGAAAAAAAACAGCATTCTTTATAGCAGGAAAACCATACTTCATGTAGATGGAGCCCAAACCAGTAACAAACATTCTTGCCCGCGATAATTTTTCGTTGAACGAAAAAAGCAATCGCTCTAATTTTACTAAAAATATTCCGTCATAGCATTGAGATAACCGCATTGAGTTGTTTGCCGCCAGGGCAGTCCACAGCCATGATCGTTTGACAAATATCGACTCTCTCTTTTTAGTTCCTGTAGTAAATCAAATGTTTTATCTCGGCCTCGATAAGTAACTGCAGTAAAAGCCAATATCTCTGAATCATGCGAAAAGTAACATTTTCTGTTTTTTATTTTGAGTGTTATTGAAAATTAAGTCCTGCTAAGTTGAGTCTTTTTTCAACTCTTTTCCAAAAGTAATGAGGTCAAAATCCTATAATACCCTAATATAGATTAATGTTAAAAGGTAACTTTCTCAGGAAATAGTTTTTCTATCCTGCCAATCACGCATTTGTCCTAACCCGTGTCGAAAATTATTGTAGTGAAAGCTTTATGAACACATCTTTTGTTTGTCTTTTGTCAGGTCGGGAGTACTCTTGTCTCTCCATGTTGCCAGGTGATTATGGTATTCGCTCAATTAAATCAACAGTGGTTAATAGACAACCAGATTCCCTGCAAATACGATTTGGCTAAAGTTTATTTGATCTGTGACGAATTATTTTAATATTGAAATCCTTTCTTGAATATAGGATGGGTAGAAGCTCTGTTGCTACTCAAACAAATGATATTGTGCCGAATGATCTTCATTTTCGCCAATTCGAGTGACTTGGTTCAGAAAGCTCAGTCTGTTAATGACAGAATTGTGTTATCACTTGTTTCTCTGTGATGTTGTGATCTTGCCACGTTTTTGGCGCGAATAATAAGGACTTTATAGCTTAAAGGTTGATCAAGAGCACCTCGATGTACGACCACCATTCTACTAAATGATTTCAGTTCATTATGTCTTCGAACAAAAACAAGGTAGGATACAAGACTTAAAATATACCATTAATTGCTATCCTCCCGTTTCTGTGAAAGACATATTATTTTGACCCGAAAATAATGGGGTGTTTATGTTTTGTTTTTGTTATTCTCTGCAGGAGGACAAGAATATAGTCCTGAAGCAATTGCTCAGAGATTTAAGAAGTGACTTCACGAAGGTGCGTTTAGTTGTTGAGACCATTTACTCGCCACAATATCATGATCACGACCAATATTATCTTGGATACCGTAGCGTAGCAGCTGCTTGGATTAGAACCTTCATTTATGCTAATAATTCCTACCTAAAATCCTTTTATTAGAACAACATAACACGACCTTGCTTAGTAAGGCTAGCATTTATTTATATATCATGCCCTAAACTACGCTTTAAAAAATCAAGACTTAAAAAAAACACGAATTTTTTGTTCGAAATTCTGTAATAAAAAATGCAAGATTGACGGCATACTGGTAAAGAATAGCTTAACCTTTCTCTTACTATATTCATTTTATTTTCGATTTATTTTAGTCTAAAGTTATTGGAATTATTGTCGTTGATGAAATATTCGTTATACATAAAAAGTTTGAAATTTTCGCTTGAACGACGATGCGAAATTACTCGTATTAACCACGAGAGCAAACACAAAATACTAGCACCAAGACAACAGTACCAACTCTCAAAACGTGACAGTTTGTAAATTATATTTCAAAAAGTGGCACCCAAATGAAGAAACTACTTGACTAAATAAAGAGGTTTTTAGCCAGGTTTATGATATTTTGGGATCGTACAATAATTTCGAAAAGGAAGACGACTTAATGATATTAATTCTGCCGTCAAAAAAAAAAAAAAAAACGCTCAGTTTCGTCTTCCTGAAACAAGATACGACAAGCGTTCACACTCAATACGAATGACTGAGTCAATAGACTGTGTATGTTAATTTTGAGCCCTCGGTTTTATATTGCTCTATTTTTTTAAGTTTTAAGCCATATATATATATATATATATTTAAAATTTATACTTGCAGTGTTTTTTTTACGCGTTTGATCGAATTTGAAAATCTAAGAAAAATTCGACAGTCGACTCTCGCCTTTCGGGTAGTTTTACTTTTCTTTCATGTACATGCGAAAATATTAGTATTAATTCGTTCGAAAACTAAGTTAATTAAAAACTTTAACGTAAAGATAAAAAATTATTTTTGAGAAATTATTTTTTGGAAATTAATGGAACTTTCAAAAACTTTGGAAAAATGTTTCGGCGTTTTTATCATCAAATGCTTTTTTCGATTTTTGATCTTTAAGGGTTTTTAAAACTTCTATTTATGTCTGAAAAAGTTTGTTTATTTTTCATTGAATATCGTGGTTTACATAACATAATCCTGGCTTTAGATTGTTTTGCAGTAGAACAATGCGATAATCTTCTACTAAACTCCATCTTGGATACAGGAATGAATAGATTTACTGGGGTATTGTTCGACGGTAGGTCATGTGCGAAAATAGGCAGTCGCTACGTTTTGGGTTAATTTTACTAATGGGGTAATCTTCTTTGCACAATAACTTAGAATTGGTTTATTGAAATTAAAGACAAGAATTACAAAATTGCATGGACAAGGTTTAAATTTTGAAGTTTTGGTAAAATGATTACTTTTGGTTGTCTTTTGATATGAGACTTTGAAAAAGTGTGACATTGTGAAAAATAATTTCAAGAGAAACAATGGGAAGCCATTTTAATGCCACGGAAGCCAGTACAATGACACAGAAGCCATTGCAGTGCCACAGAAGCCATTGCAGTGCCACAGAAGCCATTGCAGTGCCACAGAAGCCATTGCAGTGCCACAGAAACCAATGTGATTCTACAGAAGCCATTGCAGTGTCACAAAAGCCATTCAATGCCATGAAAGGCATTTAATGGGCGATCATTTATAACATCGCATTAATTTTTATTTTTATCAGGTCTGTGATTTGTTCGAACGGATTATAGATTTTAACCAAAGTCCAACGAGTGAGTCTGCCAAGAGAAAATTAGATTTGGTAAGAATTACTTTCCTTTGTTGTGCAATCAGAATTTGGTGCAGAAATTGGTGACGGGACTTCTCCCACTCTATCATCCAGGCTTTACAAATAAAAGTCCGAAACATGATCCCGTAACACTCGGCAATTATACAGTTTAGTGTATCAAGACTAGCCTTCTGGCAAGATAGTTTTCATTATTTCAGTCAAATATGCTAATTTTTACATTTGGTTATCAGGAAATTGATAGAATCAAAGCACTTTCAGAGCAATGTGTGGTGAGTAATTATTGACCTGCACTCCCCATAGGGGCTTTTCAGTTAACCGGACCACAGCAATACCGAAAGATAAAATATAGAAATTATTTTTTTATAAAATATTGTCAAAATATTGTTGTTTATCTGATAGAGTGCATACCATATATCCGACTGAAACTCATTAACTAACAAAATTGTACAAGTTAGCGCAACGTTTTGTAGGTTTACTGAACTTAATAATTTGTGCAAATTTTTTACATTTTTACGGATCGATCATAAGTTATGCACTCTAATTCTGTTTTTGATATTCAGTCGGACGCATCTAATCTGAAGGAATTTGATGTTGAGGAAACCCAGGCTGAAGGACAAAAAGATATACCAGAATATGGTAAGTTAAACAAGTAAAAATTATTATATCAAGCAGAGGAGGGAATGCACTTGGGGGGGGGGGGGGGGGGGGGGGGGGGGGGGGGGGGGGGAGGGCGCGGTGCGAAGGGGGAGAGGGGAGGATGCGTAGTTGGGAGGCGGGTTGAATCAACGGCGAGCATCTTACTACATCTCTCCTTCAGCGCTTATTTTTATCAGATATTTAGAACAAGCGTGTAAGATATTGCGGGATCAAACTGTATGACTCTCTTGCTCAGCAGGCACGTCACTTAACCAACCAGGCTTCATCTGACATCTTGCATGTGCTGAATAAAAACACGTGTACTGAGCAGCGCGCGGCTTGCTTCGTTACAGCGTTTCTATTTTAAGAATACTGCACTTTTATTCTTTTTAGATAAAGTGTACGTCAAGCAGGTTAACGGTATAGTCACAAGCATCAATACATTAAAGAAACAACTGGTCAACTACTTACAGGTAAACGTCACTTCCGGTTGGTAAATGATGAAGTCACTTCCAGTTGATATTTTGACGTCACCAGTTTGTCGAGATCCATTCAGTAGTCATGCTCTAATATATCTTTGTGCGCAGGAAAAATCTGAAGCCGAAGAAAATATTTCAAAGGAAAACTTCAAACTAAGACGTAAGTACGAAGATAATTAACTTGAAAACGTTTCAAAAAAGGCTTTCAGAAAATGTTATTCTGATTGGGGATGTTGTAAAGCGAGTGCGTTGTAGATCATTTAGGTTTGGGAGCACTGGAGATGTATGCTGCTAATGTCTGCGCCCCCTGTCACCGCTATCATGATCATATCGTGATTTAATTGTTGGTTCTCTCCTTCTAGGGTTTTTTCTTCGGGTTCTCTTTTTTCCCTCTCTCCACAAAAGTCATTGTTTAAATCATGGAATGAAGGCCAAGGGCGTATCAGCTTACTGGCCATTAAGTGCTATCCTTGTAAAACAAGGACGATAATGTGTATTTAAGCCTTTACGCGCAGAATCGTCGCAAACTATCCTGCTGCCTTAACTTTATTCTAATTTTGATCAAGTTTTTTATTTTATTTGTCCAGTTGACTTGCAGAAAGAACAAGCCGAGTCTATGCATCAGAGACAAAAGTAAGAATTCAGTTCTTTGCATTTCTTTGTCTGATTCGCATTTCTTATTAAATGAATATGAATCAGTTAATGTTTGCTGTTCTAGCCATGATTATGCAGTCACAGAGAAGAACACGGTACTAGCGACATGTCGAAAACTCGAAGAACAACTCGAAGAAAGATCCAGACAAATACAACAGTAAGTAGTTGTTGTCTTTGTCGTTTGTGTAAGTTTGGTATTTTATAGGTTTTCTATTGCATTTTTTTGCGCAGGAGATAAGAAAAATTTCGAAACTTACCTAATTAATTTTCATAATCTTTGCGCATTTTCTACCATACGTTTAAGGCCCCGTCCACACGTATCCGCAAATTTTTGTATCCGCAAATTATTTTTTGCGGATACGAAAATGTTTGCGTCCACACGCAGCGTATTCGAATCGTTTTCACCGTCCACACGTATCCGTTTTCGTAGAATTTGCGGATACGGATACACAAATTTCCGGACACGTGTGGACGCAACCCTTACCCGCAAAAAAAAATTAGCGGATACAAAAATTTCCGGATATGTGTGGACGGGGCCTAAGGGGCTTCGTATTGTTCAGCAACATTAAGTGATCTCGTAAAGTATCTACAGCTTAGGAAAAATGTTGAAATGCAGCTAAGGAAAGATTTTGTCTTCTCACTCTCTATGACATCATACTTTCATTGTGACGTCAACAAATCACGTATCGAGATGACGCGCGCATTTGTATGCTACATCATTTATTAATTTCAGCTACTCCTGGGGCAAAATTAGTCGCAGTTTTCTTTGATAGTATTGGTTATAATAGAACAACGTCAAAAGGATAACAGTTTTGACTTGATCGTTTTACAATTTTAGAGAATACGATGGTATTTGCGCGTGCGCAGTGGGAACAACAGGGGTCTGGGATCTAGTTGGGGATTTTATCGAGCATGCGCACTCAGAACAGCTTAACAATCAAGTAGTTTTTTGTTGCGAGATTAGCACCTATTCCAGTCATGTATGTATTCCTATGTTTTTATTTATTTAGGTTACAGCGCGAAGGAACAGTTAGTCTTTGGCAACGAGAAAAAGCCAAACTAGTAAAGGATATCAATTCAAAGTAAGCTCATTTGTAGCCCAAAGGCTCTCTCGCTCTAGTGCCTTCTCGGATTGATGCGATCAACAAGTACTGGAGCGAAAGAGCCTCTGCTACGTAGGGAAGCCATTAGTCCCAATCACAGTTTCCTGCGCCATCTTGAAAGGTAGTCGTGCCTTAATATCGAAGCGAGACGAACGGTGAGCTTGCAATGAAAGAGGTAATCTTGCAATGTTAGAGATAAGTGAATAATTCTTCAAGGTGTTAAAAACTGAAATGTGTTTATTGCTACCTTACAAAATATGTTTATGTGTTTGGCTACCTTAGTTTAAGATGGCAAAGGGAACTGTGAAAGAGACTTCTCAGTTTTAAATAGTGAGACTAGATAATACTTATTTGTGAATATGATTTCATTGTTAGTGAGGAACAGCTGACTAAAGAACTGAAAGAAGTAAAAGAACAACACGAGGAAATCAAAACAAGACTAAACAGACGAATACAGGTATGAATAAGACAACTTACGCTCTAATATAATCGGATGACCCCGTAAAATGGCGGCCCCGTCTCATTCTTATTGAGTCAGTAATCATGTGTCAGACAGGAACATTGGTAAATCTTTTTGGTAGACATTAACAACTGGGTAAAAAATGCCTAACAGACGTTTTTTCTCTTTAGGATTTAAGTGAGCAGGTAAAATTTCTGAAAATGGAACGGGATGTGAAGAACGGTGCTGTAAGATTACACGGTAAAGGTAGAATACACGGTGATAATAAACATCTTACTTGTTCACTCAGGATTCTAAGTCGTAGAGAGTTTTCTTCCTCAATATGATCCTCTAGCTCAGCGCGTGCGTTCCTCTGACCATTAAGGACCATTAGGGACCATAAGGGAACATTAGGGACCATTAGGGACCATTAGGGACGCAGATTCTTGAACTGATGTTTGTTGCTATAATAATTCTCCCACTTCAGAGACCGTAAATGATATCAGAAAAGCCCTTATTATTATTTGATACACCACAGTTCTCTGATAATCATATTTCTCGACCAATCAGAGCGCGCGTAGTATACATAAAATCAATCCTTATTTTATTACTTATTTGTTTGTTTGTTCGTTTGTTTATTTATTTTTCTCTCGTATTCATATTCAAGCCGGTAATGCATCACAAAGTGAACTGGAGAAAATGAAACAGCAGTTGTTCATGAAGGACAGGGTGAGTAGCTTTGAGAACACATACAAATAAACAAAAAACATGCAGATACAGACACAAACAGACACACACAAACAGACACACACAAACAGACACACACAAACAGACACACACACAGATAGACAGACAGACTAGCAGAAAGAAAGACTGGCGGACAGACGGCCAGACCAGCAGAAAGACAGACTAGCAGAAAGAAAGACTGGCGGACAGACAGCCAGACCAGCAGAAAGACAGACTAGCAGAAAGAAAGACTGGCGGACAGACAGCCAGACCAG